ACCGAAGTAACCGAACTTCGGTCGGTTATTGGAAGCTGGCCAAAATGATTTTTGGTCTTAAAAGTGGTTAGGTTAACCGATAACCGAGGTAACCGAGAAATCGAAGCCTATTTCGGTCGGTTTTTGGTAAGAGAGGTGTTTATTTCGGTTAACCGATAACCGAGTCAATCGGTTATCGGTTATAACCGAAATAACCTAATTGCCACCCCTAAGTGCGGATCAGAAAATATCCACCCGAAACAAGTCGGACAAATCAAGACAAAAACTACCATCGCTACAAATTAGTAATTATCCTTAACCACCTATTAACTACGTACTAACTTGCTATAAATGCTATCAACTACGATACATTTCTATCATCTAATTACTAGAAGTGACTTGAGATAAAAACAAATTGGTGGGGTTCGTTGGTTGCCGGAGAATGGAGGGCAAGTAGCTTAATCGTGCCCTTCCCTCTCTTGGGTACAAAACGACACTGCTTTTCGGCCTTTTCCCCTTTGTTGTGGAGCTCCATGCGGTGGCCGGTGGGCGTCTTTTCAAGTACAACCGGCGAACTTGAGATAATTGGGGAGCCAGTTGATTCGCGTTGAGAGAGAATGGGCGAACTTGAGATAATTGAGTCGAATTTTCTTCTCTTTTGTTTTATGGACCGATGAGAGAAGGTACGAGGAGGATCCATCAATCAAAACTTTGGATATGCACATAGGAAGCTACATCGATCATTTCCTTGTTGTCGTTGAATGTTCCCTTGAGGTGACCTGTTGGTTCAATTTTTACCAATGGCTTGTTATCTTCTTCTCCACTGTGCATGCAGAATGTTGTTATATAATCATGCTCCACATAGTTTCAGTCAATCACTTACAACACAAAGCTAAAAAAAAATGGAGAAAAACACTGTGCTTCCATTGATGAACGCTACTATTCTCCTCCTTCTTCTTTCTGGAGTAACTTCCCTTTCTACGACTTACCCCAACGCAATCCACGGCGACTGCTCCGACAAGTGCGGGAACATCACCGTTCCGTATCCTTTCGGAATTGGGGACCCAAAATGCGCATTCTCTGACGCCTTCCTCCTCAATTGCACTAGTAGTACTAGTACTAGTTCCTCCGCCGTCACCACCGCCGCTCCGCCGCATGAGCTTCTGTTCGGTAACATCCCCGTCACCAACATCTCCCTCGAGGAAGGCACCTTATCCAGCATCATGTACGCCGCCTACAGCTGCTACGACGAGAACGGCTTGATGGAGGACAACTATTTCAATCAATCGATCTCGCTCGGCGAAGGACCCTTCAGATTCTCCGACGCCCACAACAAACTCACGGTCTTCGGCTGCGACGCCATGGCGATAATGACCGACGCCCCTGGCAACTTCGGCAGCGCCTGCATCTCCTTCTGCAACGGCGTTTCCGCCGCCAACGTCTCGCGGAGGATCTCGGCCGCCGCGAGCTCGTCGGTCTGCTCCGGAATCGGGTGCTGCCAGAGCTTGATCCCCCAGGGATTGAAGACGCTGGACTTCACGGTGGAGCGCCCGAGGAGCAACCAGAGCGACATTTGGGAGTCGAATCCTTGCGTTTTCGCTTTCCTAGGGGACGACAGGTTTTTCGATTTCGGCGGCTTGGACCTGGCCGAGTTTCCCGACCGGAATCCGAGCAATTTGAGCACGGCGATCGAGTGGGTGGTCGAGGAGAAGCACTGCGAGGAGGCGAGATTGAACGCGCCAAGCTCTTACGCTTGCCGTGAGGACTCCGATTGCGTTTACTCCGAGAACGGGAATGGTTACAGGTGCTTGTGCAAGCCCGGGTTCAGAGGAAACCCCTACCTTGGGTGCCAAGGTAAAATTTTTGGAAAACCTTACTACGCTGACTCATAGTTAGAGGTGGCAATTCTCAATCCAATCCATCAATCCATTAAAAATATCCACCTAATCCAATCCATTTAAATTCAATCCATTTGATCCAAATCAAATGGGATTGGTGGATTCATGGACAAATCCATGGATCCAAATGGCAATTACGGTTTGGTACCTATACTTTTTATATTTTATATTTTGGTACCTAAAATTTAATTTTTTATATGAAAATTCTCATTGGAAAATTACGTTTTGGTACCTAAAAATTTTCATTACGATATTTTAGTACCTAAACTTTTCATATTTTTACATATTGGTCCAAGGTTGAGGATGTCATTTGGATTCATGGATAATCCACCAATCCACTTGATCCAATCCATGAATCCACCAATCCAATGTAGTCAAAATCACGCTTTAAAACGTACGATTTTACGTTTCTAGGTCACTAAATCGCTTCTACACAAAATCTCAGTTTTTATAACTTTTGCAGTTAAAAACTCCACTTTAAAACTTACGATTTTACGCTTCTAGATCACCAAAATGTTTCTATGTAGAAACTCGCTTTTGACTACATTGATCCAATCCATTTGCCACCTCTGCTCATAGTTGACTTCAAGGTTCGAATTTTTTTTCCGTGTCAACTCGAATACTTATTTCATTGCTTTTACGCGCGCACGTATGTTGTTATTTATTCACCACAGACATCAATGAATGTGAGGAGCCAGAGAATTACCCATGTCATGGACGTTGCAAGAACACAAAGGGGAACTATACTTGTAGTTGTCCGGTTGGGATGCGTGGCGACGGCAAAGTTGCTTGTCAAGTATCCAGTGTGACGGCCATTGTTGCAGGTAAAAAAAAAAAAAAAGAAACAGACATCGCGAAGACTGTAACGAACGAGAGTGTTTGATGTTTCATGTGACGAAGTTATTATAGTAACTTACTTCGTTCACACTCCTGCAGTAACCGGAGGCGTCATCTTGCTAGTCACCATCGGTCTTCTGGCCTTCATCATCTATAGACGAAGAAAGAGAGAGAAGAACTTCTTGCTCAACGGTGGAATGTTGTTGAAGCACCAAAGAGTGAGAATCTTCAGAGAATTCGAGCTCTCCAAGGCCACAAAAAACTTCGACGCCACCCACTTCCTAGGCGAAGGAGGATTCGGCCGTGTCTACAAAGGAATCCTCCCTGACAACACCGTTGTGGCAATCAAGAAACCTAAAGGCTCGATCGACAAGGCTCAAACCATCAACCAAGAATTCGAGCACGAAATCACCATCGTCTCGCAGGTGAACCACATCCACGTTGTCAAGGTGGTCGGGCTCTGCCTCGAGACCAAGCTCCCGCTCTTGGTCTATGAGTTCATCCCCAACGGCACCCTCTTTGACCACGTTCATAGGAAGAGGTCCGATCTCATGTCTACATGGAAAAACCGGCTGAGAATCGCGACGGAGATTGCTCAGGCGCTCGATTACCTGCACTCGTTGGCGAACCCGCCAATCATCCACGGGGATATCAAGTCGACCAACATTCTCCTCGACGAGGGGTTTCGCGCCAAAGTCGCCGACTTTGGCGCCTCTGTTCTGATCTATCCCGACCAGGCAACCGCCATGTTTGATAAGATCCAAGGCACATTGGGTTATCTCGACCCCGAGTATCTCGTGACGGGTAATCTCACCCCGATGAGCGATGTCTACAGCTTCGGAGTCGTGATGGTCGAGCTTCTGACAGGGCGGAAGCCTTACTCTGGAAGCTCGACCAGAACCGAGGAGAAGGTTAATTTGGTTCAGTATTTTCTGAGTTCGGTCGGAGATATGAATTTGGGGAGGATTGTGAATTTTGTGGTGGCTCGAGAAGGTGAGATGGAGGAGATTGAGGCGTTTGCTGAGGTGGCGCGGAGGTGCTTAAGTTCAAGTGGGATAAAGCGGCCTGTGATGAAGGAGGTGGCGGAGGAGCTTGGACGACTGTTGAGGAGGTTGGATAAGAATTCTTGGGAGTCTGATCGGAAGGGTGATAACGGCGGGGAGGAGATGGAGTGTTTGTTGAGGAAGAATGGTGGCGAATCTTGTTCGATGTCGTTTGGTGGGGGTTCAGAGTTTTGGTCAGTGAGGACGGAGGAGCCGCCGGCGACAGAAACTCATAGCATTGTTGCTATGGAAATGGGGTCGTATGAGATCTTCCGATGATGGTTGTTGGCCTCAAGGTTCGAGGTTCGAGACTTAGGGTGTGACGAATGTTCTGTGTTAATTATTGTTTTCTGTATAATCAATGTTAGCCATGTACAATAAGGGCACAGATAGATCAGTTGTTTCTAGGGTTAGTTGGTTAAAAGCCCTAAATGTTTTAACATGTAGAGAACCATGCTATTATGCCGAAACATAATATTAAAACCTGAGAGGGAGATTCTCTCCGTGGACTAGTGTAGTCCTGACGATACCACGTTAAAAAGTCTCGTGTGTTCTTGTACTTTTGTTTGATATTTTGACATGATATCAGAGCCTCTCGACTTGGTGATCATTTTACTTCAATAACAATCCTCGTTGGTGTGTTGCAAGTTTTTTGCGAGATGTTGTTCTTCGTGCCCTCCATTAAGGTAACCTTAGCTCTTCTCTTGTCCAGGGTTTCCTCATCGTGTCCTCAGTGGTAGGGCTGGCTATTTGGACCGGGACCGGATGAAAAACCGGAAATCGGACCGTATAACCCGGACCGAGACCGGACTGGGACCGGATAGTAAACAATCCAATCCAATCTTTGGGCTTAGATTTGAGGTAAAAAACCGGATAAGAGAGCTCAACACCCAAAACTTAAGGGTAATTTGCATAAACGGTCACAAACCTTTGCACTTAGTACAAAACTTAACCAACTCCTCACCCTTTTAGGCCTTAGGCCACTCAAATTCCCACAATCTCAATATAAAATCAAGACCGAATTGGGACCGGACCGGGTCAAGACCGGACTGTATCCAATCCAATCTTCGGTCCTTATATTTTCAAAAAAACTGGACTGGACCAGATCAATTTGGGCCAATTTAACCGGACCGGACCGTATAGCCACCCCTACTCAGTGGCGCGGAGCCAGAAGTTCGAAACGGGTGTGTCCTTTTGTATAATATAATAAATATTTGTTAGCATAAAAAAAAAAAGCTTAGCTTCCCGGTGAACTCATAGTTAGTCCCCCAAACAATTATTTCAATGCATAAAAAAAAAGAGCTTCATTCCTTACAAATTGTTGGAAAAGAGGGACTTCAGTTATAGGGTTAAAGACACATTTGGTCACTGAGATTACAAAATCGGGACATGTTTAGTCACTAAAAAAATTTAATATCAAATTTGGTCACTACAATTACTAAAACTGGACCCATTTAGTCACTCGCCGTTAGTCTCCGTCCAACTCCGTTAATGAAGTCCGTTAAGTGCTGATGTGGCAAACAGAATTGCCTAATCAGCCGGATATTAACCCAACAAAAATAAAACCCGACCCGCCACGTCATTATAACCCGCCACCTCATTAAAACCAACCCAACCCAACCCAACCCATCACCCAACCCTACCCAACCCTTCTTCCTCCTTCCTCCCCAACCCAATTTAGGAGCGAGTATCCATTACCCGAAACCTAATTGCATAAAGAATCTTCCCCAAGCAGCTGAAAATATAGAAATCCATTGTTGATGACTCGAGCATTATAGGTAACACCAAGAAACCCAAATTCCCAGTTTCTCCAGAGAGCAAGGTGGGTAACCTAACTACCCGCCAAAAGGCAACTACCGGCTACAGCAACATAAAAAAACCATGGATTCGCAACAAAGCTAACCCGCCACAGATCCCAGAAGCAAAAGAAGAAACCCTAATAAGAAATCTAACTAAACCCCTTCGGACAGCAAGAACGACCGCATTTCATTAGCACGAATTAGAAACTCCGAAAGAACGCATTTCCGCAGGGGGGGAAGGAATTCCATAAGGGGAATGAAGATTGGCGAGAAGCACTGGTAGTAGCAGGTTGGAGTCGAGCGGTGGGGAAAGATCGAAGAACAAACCTTCTTGCAAGTGAGGGGAGAAGCGAGGAAGTACACGCAATCGGTGTTTCGCTTCTGCAATTCCTCCTCCATACTTCCTAGCTGGTTTTTCTTCCCTTTCAATTTCAAAGGACGGGGGGAAAAGGGACGGAGCAGCGGCGGCGGCGAGAGAGTTCTGCAGCGTCGCCCCTTTTCTCCTGCCTTTCGCCGCTGGAGCTCTCTTCTAGTGTAGAGCGCAGCGACAGATAGAGAGAGAGAATCGCTACTGCTGCTGGCCCTGGACTTGGTGGGTGATGTTGATTTAGTAGAGTTGGAGGATTTGGTGGTAATAAGTTTGGTCTGGTTCTTCTTACCACTCGAAGAAGAAGACAGAGTATCTCCGATAGCAGCAGAGTTGGTAGTAGTCTTCTTGGTGAGTTTCATGGTCTGATTCTTGTTAGCAGAGGGAATGGTAGATTTAGAAAGCTTGGTGCTTGGTGTTGCTTGTGATGATGATAGGCTGCTGCTGCTGCTCTTTTTCTTGGGCAGTTGTGGTTGCTCATCGTCGTCATCGCTGTCTAAGGCAGAGGCAGAGAGGAAGAGGGGGGAGGTGAACAAGAAGAAGAAGGAGGAGAGCAAGAGTAGCTTCCTGAATCTTCACCACCGAGCTCCGAGCCGGCACCGCCACATTCCTCAAGAAGATGAAGGAAGGGCGGCCGGCAGATTAATGGGGAAAACCCTAAATTGGGTTGGGGAGGAAGGAGGAAGAAGGGTTGGATAGGGTTGGGTGATGGGTTGGGTTGGGTTGGGTTGGTTTTAATGAGGTGGCGGGTTATAATGACGTGGCGGGTCGGGTTTTATTTTTGTTGGGTTAATATCCGGCTGATTAGGCAATTCTGTTTGCCACATCAGCACTTAACGGACTTCATTAACGGAGTTGGACGGAGACTAACGGCGAGTGACTAAATGCGTCCAGTTTTAGTAATTGTAGTGACCAAATTTGATATTAAATTTTTCTAGTGACTAAACATGTCCCGATTTTGTAATCTCAGTGACCAAATGTGTCTTTAACCCTTCAGTTATATATCCATCCCTTTTCTCACTTAACAGTCAACAACACGTTCACTCAATTAACCTCATCTTCCTATAATCCGTGTATTCCCTCGCAATTGCATTTCTCCATTTCACGACTTAGACTCTTTAGATATTGCTTCAAGTTTCAACTACTAGGCCCAAAAAAAGATCAACCTTTCTAACTCTTAATCGGCTCAGTGGTGAGACCAAACCCAAATGGAAACAGAGGGTCATAATGTGCATCACCCACGTTCATTGGAAGCTGATCAACCGACCTGAACCAGGTTCTAGCCAGCTTCCCAGTGAACCCAAAATCACCAAACAGAACATCGGTAATGCCTTGTCCCTCTGTCCCTGGAAGCCACGCAGCTACCAGAGCGTCGATCTTGGCGAGGTGCGGCTCCATCACCACTGGCCGGCCCGAGATCACCACGACGACGCACTTCACCGAGCCACAGACGTTGCTGATGGTGCTCAGGCCAGCTGCCGGAATGGTCAGGTTCAAGCTGTCGCCCTGAGTCTCAGCGTATGGTGGCTCGCCCACGACCACGATGGCGTAGGAGAACTTGCCCGATTTCACGAAATTGGGGTCCGGCTTCTCGCTGTAGACGACTTGAGTGGAGGGAGCAACTGCGGCCTTCACTGCTTTCAGGATCGTGGTGCCTGTGGATTTTACCAAGAGAGGTTTAAATCCTGAAGAGTTACCATTGGGGAAATGAAACAGGCATTGATACAGAGAACAGGAAACATACCAGATGTCAGATCATTTCCGGTTTGGCCTTGCCATGTTATGGTCCATCCTCCACATTGATTCCCCAAGTTATCAGCATGGCTTCCAGCAACAAGGATCTTGGGTGCTTTCTTGGGAAGGGGCAACAATGGCTTGTCAGCAGATTTGCCATTCTTTAACAGCACAAGTGACTTCCTCACAGCTTCCCTAGCTAAATCTCTATGCTCCTGCAGAAAACAGAGAATATGAATATGTTAGAAGCAGAGATTAGAGAATATAGACACACATATGGACTTGTCACAAAAATTGTACCAAGGGTTTAGTGATTTGACCTGTTTCCCAAGCTCATGAACCATACTGAGATCAGCTAGTGGCTTCTCGAAGAGTCCCATGACGAACTTGACTCGCAGGATCCTCATCACAGCATCATCAATCCTGCTTACAGGAATGATCTTGTTCTTCACTTGGTAGATCATGTTAGTAATCAACTCTGTATAGTTGTAGGCAACCATGATCTGGCACACACAAACAGAACCAAATTTAGAAGAAGAAGAAGAAAAAACATCACAATGGTGGTGATGCTACTTTGCTTAGTATGGTAGCAGCCAAGCTAAGTAGTACAGTACCATGTCGATTCCAGCGCCAACTCCTGCAGTAATGGAAGTGCTGTAATTGGTATGTGGTGGAGAAGTGATCCTGTCGATTCCTTGCCAGTCCGAAATCACGAATCCCTGAAGAAAAACAATTCAACAAACAACACAGAAAGCTGTAACATCAAGCATCCATTCTGTTACCAAAAATTTGTAACAAACACAGGAAAGGGAATGCAGTTCCTTCTCACCCTGAACTTGAGCTTGTTCTTGAGGTACCCTGTGATGAGCTCGCGATTCGCGTGCATCTTCTTCCCGTTCCAGCTCGAGTACGAAACCATGACCGTGGCCACGCCTTTGCTGACGGAGTTGTAATATGCAGGCATGTGGATGCTCATCAGTCCATTCTGGGAGATGACCGTGTTGTTCTCGTTGATGCCCTTGGTCGTGCCACCGTCTCCCAAGTAATGCTTGGCACAAGCTGCAACCTTGGTCCTGTTTAGTCAAATAATCAAAAACCGTATTAGAATGGATTGCATCATTGTAGATTTCTCAAGTCACCCCACCCTATTCAATTCCATAACCAACTGTTTTAAGTGTTCAAAATTCTAGCATAACTTGCATAATGCACATACATACGCAACTATCACTAACATACACGCTACGAAATCTAACCCAGCTTTGTGGAATCTTGCGTTACTAGTCGTACGATGAACATAGTGTCATTCTTTGATCTTGATTACTACGTAACATCCAACGACTATATACGCGTAAACCCTCGATCCAACGATCGAAAAAGAATAGGATCATTTTTATACAATGCAGAGAGAAGGTGAGACTCCACCAAGTGCCCATCCCACTAGGGTAAGAACCTTGATACCTCATCTACACTACAGTACACAGCAAGGTCCACAAAGATGGATGATGTTTGAAATGCAATTCCCTAGCAGAGACCCAATTGGCCATTAAAGAAAGGAATCATCTTTATAGAAATTAGAAAACAGGGGACCTAAAGGTCCTACATTTCAACTGCAAGCTGAAGTCATTGATGACACCATTTTTCTTCATATCTAGACAACTCTAAGGCCCACACAGCCGAATACGACACCATTGGAGGTTTCGTCTTATCTCTGCGTTTAGCCATAATTATACTCTTGAAAATTTTCAGAACTGACTGTTTTGGAAGAGTTTAGATTCCTTCTTTGTGTTACATATGTGCCAAAAACTCTCAATCAGAGGTAAACGTTTTGTTTAATATGCACACAAGACAAGTTGTAAGTAAAGACCGACTTTGCTACCATACTGATAAAGGTAAGCGTTAGTACGAGTTTAACATATATTCGAGTCGCGTATTTCATAATTTTTATGGTCGAATGTATTGGAAACAGAGTTTTACTATCATATTGACAAAATAGATATTAATATACTATCTAATATTATTATATTCAGACATTCTAACCTTTTGAACGATACAGGAATTAAGAATGGTAAAATTCTCGATTCGGCTATGATAAACCACATTAACACCTAATACTCTTCTCTCTTAGAACAAGAGGGAGGAGAAGTTTGAAATGCAATCCATCTGACCTAAGTCAGACCAACAGCACGTGGTCTTGAATATGTTATAATGCTTATCTCTAACTAGGGCCCAAAATCTAATGCACCATTGGACCAGATGTGAACAAGAAGATTGATTACCCATTATCAACTTTTACTTAATACTTAAATACTTAGTCAATTCAGACTTAGCCAAAGATCTCATCTTTTTCCAAAAAGCAAGGTAGGGGGGAGACAAAAAGGAGATTGTAGATTTACCCTCCATTATCAACAAAGGGAACACCCTTTCTGGAATTTGCAGGGAGATCTCCTTGTAAACCAGGTATGATCTCTGTCATCTTCTGGACGATGGTGTGATCCTCACTGTAGCTCTCGTAGCACCGACCCCATCTTGGATCTCTGCATACCTAATAACAAAACCCCAAAACGAAAAAGGGTTGACTTCACCGTCATTAGTGGGTAATCATTGATTACCCAGTTGTGTTTTTAAGTAATTCATAACTTACAGCAATGCATGGAGCAAACACATATGGTATCCCAGTTGCTCTGACTTCCATGGCGGTTGCAGCTCCAATCTTTTTCACGAGCTGGGGATCCCTGGTAGAGATGGAATTGAGTTAATCTTGTTACTAATTGTTGATTAAGCTGATAAATCAAGCATTAGAGAGTGTTAAAGTTGAGAGCTTTATACCTTGTGACGCCGAGTCCAACATTGTGAGGGAAAATGGTGGCGTTGTAGACATTGTTGTGGCCATGAACAGCATCGATCCCGTAGATCATGGGGATTCCCAAGCGGGTGGATAGAGCTCCCTTCTGTAGTCCATTTACAGTATTGACCCAGGCTGCAGCTGAAGCTTTTGGGGATGGAACGCTGCCTCCACCACTCAGTACACTCCCTGCATCACATTAATTTACAGAGTTCCAACCATGAGAGATTTCCTTTTTTCTTTCGATTTAGGGGCAGCTTGATTTGAAGGGGATTGCTGTTTACCTAGGAAGTACTTCTTCAATACAGAAGAGGAAGCGACGGTGAGATCAATCTGAACCATCTGGCCGATTTTCTCTTCCAGGGTCATTCTCTTGACCAGGTCTTTGACTCTGGCTCCAATGGGCTGCTTCGGGTCTTTGTACTTCAAGTAAGGAGGTTTTGCGGCTGATGCGAATGAGCTGCAGAATACTAGTGCTAGAAGAAGAAGAATGGAACAAGTGGAAACCCATTGCCTCCCCATTTCGTCCAGAAATGTAGATCTACCTCGCTTCGCTGAAAAATTATCTGGATGCTTGAAAACAGAGGACCCCCAATTAGAGAACAGAGTGAAACAGAGTACAGCAAGGGAAGAGCGTAAGCAATGGAACAGAGTAAAAGAAAGCTACTTTCTAGATTGGTAACTTTAGCAGGGGAAGCACAGACAGAGAGAGAGAGAGAGAGAGGATAGCAATGGAGAAGAAGGCGTTATGAGTTTACATTGGAGAGTGTGATTCACTGTGTCTTCTTCTTCCTCCTTGGGACGGGGAAGGTGAAGCTGCTTGCTGCTTGCTTCCTTGCTTGCTGCTGCTCTGCAGTAGAACTTCTGTGAGATATTTCTTCCGCTTCTGTTCTCAGTTTCTTCAGTACTTATAGGCTTTTCTGCATCTTATTTTAATGGCAGCATTGGTGGCTTGTTTGGGCGAGAGAGAGCAAGAAATTAATTGATGGCAGAGTACATAGGACTAGGAGCCATGTGTATGGTGGACTTTCCGTAGTAATGATTTGTTTGTTGGTCTCTACAATTTCATCTTTGTTTTTCGCCATTTCTGCCTATCTTCCCGTTACTAAGTTTGTTTGACCCATCAAAGTAATCTGATCAAACCGACATCTCGTCCGTTCTACGATGTTCACAAAATCACAATATTTCAGTGCCTTGATCGGAAAAAAAAACTTTCTAACGGAGTAAAACAAAACTTGTCAGACGATTTTAATAGTCTGAAACGGTTGTACCGATTGTAACATACACAGGCGATTTTAGCCGCAGACAAGCAATGTAAATGTTCATCTCATTTTGTCACCGTGATTTTTTGAATTTTGATTCTCCCAAGGAGCCGCCATTGACTTTTATATCATGATCCGTTCCTTAAGGAGCCGCCATGGCAGCCATTAATCAAGACATGGTTGTCTATCTTGGATCCCGTTTGCTCTTAGCCGAGTAGCCTTGGAACGTTGGAAGTCAAACTTGAGATCCTAAAAATAAACGGTCTTCAACTTACTTTCAAAAATAGAATGGGCCGGCCCAAGCTCACCGGCCATTCTTCTCCCTTCCCTTAATTAATCAAAGCCTTTTTCTCTACCCATATCCAACGGGCTCGCCTTCCTTACTTACTCCAAACCATTTGGGTTTTGGGCCCAACTTCAGTATTTCAAAGGTCCATGGACTCTTACTACAATTTGCATCCAATAGATCCACATACTGGTTGACAAAGCCTGGACGTAAAAAGTGTGTTTCTTTTTTAGAATTAAATGCATATTTCTAGTAACGAATGAAAATTAGGGATGACAATGGTCCGGATTGGGTTGGATGTTGCCAAACACGAATTCAAGGGTATATTAAAAAAAAAAAAAAAATCGGGGTAAAACCCAACCCTATCTATTGGGTATTCCCGGGTTTATGGATATTCATGGGTTATGTGATAAAAATGCACAATAAGCAATTCCTACCAAAATAACAGTCTAACATCATTCTTCCCATACCAATTATCTAAACAAAAAACCCAATCTAAAGCATACAAGCAAATCACAAAGTATCCATACAAATTGTTCAACATTAAAGATGAACATCCATAAACAACATGATTAATTGAAAGTTTCTTCCTCCTTGCCAACTAAACTTTTTCATCACTCTCTACTCCATAATATTATATTAACTTCATTCTACACAATTAGGAAGATCACATTAGACATGTCTCCACAAACTTAAGGAAGATTAGTTGCTTAAAGAAGATTAGTATGGGGGAATGTCCAATGAGAAATGGGTAAGGGATTCGTGGTTGGGGACAAGTACGGGTTGGAGCAGGTTGGATATCGCTAAACCCAAACCCAACCCAAACCGCAAAATAGTAAACTGATTTAAACCCGAACCCGACGACCCATAATCCGTCAATGCAGGTTTTATCCGCATTGACCAGGTATGATCAAGTAAGGTACCCGTGAATTCAGATTATATTGCCATTCCTAATGAAAATAGTGATTTGAAGATTGCAACTTCTTCTAGGATTGATTTGTTGCTTAGTTAGCAAAGGGTACGTAGCTAGGTTTCGTGGTAGGTTAGGTATCGAGAAGATGTTGACGAAGGCATAATTAGATGGACTTGTTGGCTGGCTATTTTTTCTGTCCGTTACGCAGGCCACGATTCTTACTTTTTCTGTCTGTTCATATAGATTCACCATTCATGCGTTAGATTAATCAAATAGATGGAAATAAGACTCCACACTCAACAACGTTATATTAAGTTCAGCTTAGTTATATATATATATATATTGATCGAATACACGACTTTGGAATCACATTTCCAAGACGACGATGCATGTTACATGCAAACACTAAAGCGACCATAGTAACGGTACTGAAAATATAGCATAAGCTTTGACCGGGGGTGGACACACACTACGAAACAACATAAGGAAATAGTTTATGTTGACGATGCATGGCTCTCTCTCTCTCGTCAAACTAAGCTTCATATGGCTGCCGCGAAGCTAGCTTTGCCGAACACGAGCGGCTGAAGCACGCTAGAGTCCCCGCCTGCTGAGCAGGTTTCACCCGCTTTGCCGAAAGCTGGTGGAGCCCACAAGCTAGAGTCCCCGTCGGCTGCTTTGCCGAATGCGGGTGGAGCCCACAAGCTAGAGTCTCCGTCGTCGGTTGAGGAGGTTTCATCAGCTTTGCCGAAAGCTGGTGGAGCCCACAAGCTGGAGTCTCCGTCGGTTGCTTTGCCGAAGGCCGGCGGCGCCCACAAGCTGGAGTCCCCGTCGGTCGCTTTGCCGAAAGCTGGTGGAGCCCACAGGCTAGAGTCTCCGTCTGTTGCTTTGCCAAACGCCGGCGGTGCCCACAAGCTGGAGTCCCCTTCGGTTGCTTTGCCGAACGCCGGCGGCGCCCACAAGCTGGAGTCCCCGTCGGTTGCTTTGCCAAAAGCTGGTGGAGCCCACAGGCTAGAGTCTCCGTCTGTTGCTTTGCCGAACGCCGGCGGCGCCCACAAGCTGGAGTCTCCGTCGGTTGCTTTGCCGAACGCCGGTGGCGCCCACAGGCTGGAGTCCCCGTCGGCTGCTTTGCCAAAAGCTGGTGGAGCCCACAGGCTAGAGTCTCCGTCTGTTGCTTTGCCAAACGCCGGCGGTGCCCACAAGCTGGAGTCGCCGTCGGTTGCTTTGCCGAACGCCGGCGGCGCCCACAAGCTGGAGTCCCCGTCGGTTGCTTTGCCAAAAGCTGGTGGAGCCCACAGGCTAGAGTCTCCGTCTGTTGCTTTGCCGAACGCCGGCGGCGCCCACAGGCTGGAGTCCCCGTCTGTTGCTTTGCCAAAAGATGGTGGAGCCCACAGGCTAGAGTCTCCGTTTGTTGCTTTGCCAAACGCCGGCGGTGCCCACAAGCTGGAGTCCCCGTCGGTTGCTTTGCCGAACGGCGGTGCCCACAAGCTGGAGTCCCCATCGGTTGCTTTGCCGAAAGCTGGTGGAGCCCATAGGCTAGAGTCGCCGTCTGTTGCTTTGCCAAAAGCCGGCGGCGCCCACAAGCTGGAGTCGCTGTCTGTTGCTTTGCCGAACGCCGGTGGAGCCCACAAGCTGGAGTCCCCGTCGGATGCTTTGCCGAACGCCGGCGGCGCCCACAGGCTAGAGTCGCCGTCGGTTGCTTTGCTGAAAGCGGGCGGAGCCCACAAGCTAGAGTCACCGTCGGCTGCTTTGCCGAAAGCCGGTGGAGCCCACAAGCTAGAGTCACCGCCGGCTGCTTTGCCGAACGCCGGCGGCGCCCACAAGCTAGAGTCCCCACCAGTTGAAGAGGCTCTGACGGGACGAGTTTTAATGGAGATGGGACGACGGTTCGCAGCCGGAACGGCGTTGGTGTTGCTCTTGAGGGATGTCAAGGACGAGATCGTGAGTGGGGAAACAGCTGAGAGAACAGAGGAAGCCATGGCTATAGCTGCGCTGTATGTTGTTTGGCGTTAATTAAGCACTTGTTGTTTGAGATACGATGAAGAGCTGGGAGTTGAGGAGCTAGTGTGTTCCCCAGGTCAAGGTATATATAGTACCAAATGTCACGATTCTCACGCTTTTGATTGTTGAGATGTGTGGCCAAAAGAGAAATAGATAAGGACATTCAATTTTTGTAACGTTAGGGTTTGGCTGGTTTGCATTTGCATGTGAAGTACGTGTTTGCTGGCGCACGCATGCATGACTGCATTCATGAATTTGTAACGTAGGCTGGTTGGTTTGGAGGGTTTGCATGCATGTGAAGTACGTGGCGTCGTGGGCGGGGGGAAACAAAATAGTAAATGGCCAGTAAGTCGTGGTATAAATTCAACAATTATATTTGTCATCTTATTAGAAAATGTTTATTAAGGATTTGGTATCATGGTTCGGGATAGAGGATCAGGAACTGAGATTTATCCATATTAAAAACTAACCCTTTTTTTTCGTATCAACAGTTAAAAATCTCTGGGCTTAATGATCCTAATTATGACATAGTGTTATGTCTCAAACTCTGGTTAATTCGTCATCTAAACAGTAAAACTCGACAAAATACGATAGTGTGAGTGCTTGCGTATAGTATATGTCTGACATATGTTAGCTTGATCTCTCTCTATATATATAGTTATATACACACACTCAGACGGTACAGATTGCATATCCCTAGATAATACAAGAACTAAATATACCCTTTTGGCTTGATTATTGTCCGTGGGAGAGATGAAGATGACGATGAAGAATACTAAAGCTGTGGTTCTGCTTGTGATGGCGATGGCTCTCCTCGCGAGCCCGACGTCCTTGACGGCGGGGGCAACAAGATACCTAAGTCCATGTGTCCTAAACCCTAACGAGCCTGGATGTCCAGGCGCCGCCGCCGCAATTATTGGCAGTACTCCTCCTAGTACTACTCCTGTCCCGGCCAATCCTTACCACCGTGGTTGCTTAACCATTAACCGCTGCCGTCCTGGTAGTGCCGGCGCCGGCGCCGGTGACCATGCCTAGCTAGCTAGTTCAAAAATTGTGGTAATTAAAGTGCGTGTCGTTAATTTCCTGCTGACTGAATTCACGCGTACGTAGTACTTGTGAATCTTGTATTATTTCAATAATGAATGAATGAATGAATGGATGGTTGGCTTTGGTTCCTAGAATATATATTGTCTCACATTGTTATATAGGGAAGGATTGTTTTGATTTCTTTCATTGTTAAATTGATGTATCGATGAATTTGGTGTACTCTTCAAGCCTCCCTCAAATCGATATCACTAGCGGGAAAATAGGTCAATCAGGCCAATCGATTTGTTTTTATCGCATCAAGTGTTACTCGAGGATTCTGAACCCCTGAAACCTTCAGCTCCAAAACTAGTGGTAGTACCATTAGACAAAGAGTTCGTCATGAATTTAATTTTTGATCAATTATCAATCTGCAGGCTCATGTGACATGGCCGTTGCATACTTACATTGCATCATTGGAGGCTAATTCCAGAGCTTTCACATGATTCTAACAGGCTTATTTCCTTTCATACTTAGTTTGATTTATTGGATTTATGATGCTAATAACAGGCTGACATACATCTTACAACGATACATTCCCGACTGCATGCGGGGGACATAAAACTACGAGCAACAAAACCTCAACTGAAAATTAAAACACTGATGGGGGAGCTAGTGATCACGACTGGCCTTCTCGAACGCACACACACAAAACATTACATATGATTTTCCCGCATAGTAAGTTTATATATTGATGCCTCTTATCTGGTGATCAGTCCTCATATGATCAATTCGGTGCCAAGCTAGATTCCCCGACCATGGCCATGGTCGGGTGCAAGCCAGAGTCCTTGATGGTTGATGAGGCAGTAGGACCAGCTTTGCCAAAAAAATGAATTGACCAGAAGCCAGAGTCCCCACCGGTTGAGGAGGCTATATGGTCAGCTTTGCCGAACACGACCGGGTAACACCAGCCAGAGTCTCCACTACCGGTCGAGCCGGTCCGACCGGTTTGGCCGAATATGGGAATCGGGTACACGGGGAACGGGAACGACCCCGCGTCCCCATCAAGAGTACTACTGCCGCCATGGGAGGATTTGCATGAAGTAGCTTTGCCGAAAAAATGAATCGACCAGAATCCAGAGTCCCCACCGGTCGAGGAGGTCATATGACCAGCTTTGCCGAACACGACTGGGTAACACCAGCCGGAGTCTTCACTACCGGTCGAGCCGGTCTGACCGATTTGGCCGAATATGGGAATCGGGTACACTGGGAACGGGAACGACCCCGCGTCCCCATCAAGAGTACTACTGCCGCCATGGGAGGATTTGCATGCAGCAGCTTTGCCGAAAAAATGAAGCGACCAGAAGCCAGAGTCCCCACCGGTCGAGGAGGCCATATCATGACCAGCTTTGCCGAACACGACCGGGTAACACCAGCCAGAATGTCCACTACCGGTCGACCCAGTCCGACCGGTTTGGCCGAATATGGGTATCGGGTACACGGGGAACGGGAACGAGCCCGAGTCCCCATCAAGAGTGCGGCCGCCATGGGAGGATTTGTATGCAGCAGCTCTGGCAGGACGAGTTTTGATGGAGATGGGACGACGGTTCGCAGCTGGTACGGCGTTGGTGTTGCTCTTAAGGGATGTCAACGGCGAGAGCGTGAGTGGGGAAACAGCTGAGAGAGCAGAAGAAGCCATGGCTAACTGCTGTGTGTTTGGTCACGTTAAGCAGTTTCTTTGGTGTTATTGTGAAGAATTAGTGTCTACAACTAAGGTATTTATAGTATCCATGCCACAGTTCTTAGTGTTTGGTTTGTTGAATATATGGCCAAAGAGACTGAGAGCAGCCATTAATTTGTAACGTTGGTTTAGGTTTTGCATGGTTTGCATGAGAAGTACGTGGTGAATGGTGATGGTGTGAAGTTGAAGGGAAATGAATGAAAAGATCTGAAAACAGAGATGATGAGTGGCCTGTCGTGGTGGTATATTGGTAGTAATAAACTTGTATGTGGATTAATTGAGATGTTGGTTGGTGTAATGTGTAGTTTAAGAGGAGTTACAGGCTTATGGTTGCTCGATTTTTAGTACCGATAATCGAACCGACAATTATTTCCCGGTTAACTGCTTGCTATCGGTTCGACTAGTGGTTAATTAGTTTGACGGTTCACTGCTAACCAATAACAACCTCTACACATGTGAAAAGTTTCTTTTGTTTTTTCCAATTTTGCAATTTCCTTTCAAATAATACTATATCATCGTTTCAAATAATTCATAAAACAGTTTAACTATAATCCTACATTGTTAACATTATTGCTTGGCTTATTTTTAGGAAATCTATACAAACATATGATTGAAGAATGAGACTTGGACTGACCCCAAGAAGTATAGGTACTAAAATGGATGAGGGAAAAGTATAGGTACTAAAATGGAGAAGAATGAAATTTGGGCTGACCACAAGAAGGCGCGCGCGAACTCACCTTTCCCTAATTCCACAGTCTCTCTCTCTCTCTCTCTCACTGCTCGGGGTCCTGAATCCCGATCTTCAATCCGCCGGTTCACCGACCGATTCCGGCGACCAACCCGCCGGATGAAACAACGACGGGAGATGAAAAGCGTTGAGGAAGAACAGACCCTTTTTTCGGCGAATGTAGGCGCACTTTACTCTGATAACATAGTATATCGATTGCTGAGTATAGTTTGCAAATTTTGATACTCTGCAGCTTTAGGGTTCTTTTTGATTGATCGAATTTCTTCAAATTCCCCCTATTATGTATGTGTTGTTTCTAAAGATGATTTTATCTTGTCTTCAAACCAGAACACTGATTTTTATAATACAAAAAAACCCCCAAATCACTGATAAGCTTTTTCTCACTTATGGTTCATTCTCCATTTCAAGTAGCTCTCGACACTGTCCAACCCACAGAGCTCCTTCACAACAGGCATGGTGGCAGGTGCAGCCAAGTTGAACATAGCGTGCGAACCGTCGAGGCCGCCCCAGGTATGCAGCTGTTTTCTGGCGTCTTTAATGGCTGCCCTTGTTGCACAGTGAACTGATGATGCTAGCAGCAAGGGTGGTTCACCGGAAGCTACATACAAGAAAGAAAGAAAGAAGTTAACAAAGTCAGAATCTTTAGTCAAAACAATTTGCATACTCTGTGCTGTAAGTTTCAAGTCTAGATGGGTTTTTATGTGGAACTGAAATTACTGTCTGTTTGTTGTTACCACGGCTTTGTTCATTTGATTTTTTTAAGAGGATCATCTACCTTTTGATGACAGAACTCGGTTCTGGTGATGTCCACTGCTGAGGATTTCGACGTTGAACTGTTTGGGGATGGTGTCTATGGTTGGAACCTTGTATCTCCAGGTGCTGTCTGCTGTGACTAAACCTTCCGAGTTCGTCTTGTACTCTTCCAACATGAAGAACCCTATTCCCTGAACAAAAGCTCCTTCAATCTGCCAGTGAAAAAAGACAAAGTAAGAATGATTTATGACCTCCAACGCCATGTGTTCTTTAAAGATTATAACTTCAGTCTATCTATGGAATATCTGTGTGTTCATGCTTCAAGAACCTAACCTGTCCCATGTCTACTGCAGGATTCAGACTTTGTCCACAGTCATATACGAGATCTGATCTCAGAATTGTGGTTTCACCTGTGAGAAGATTTACCTCCACCTGTTGCGTATATAAAAGATGTGTAAGATGGATTTTTGCAGCAAACTTTTCTAGCAGCAGGCTGAATGTATCATATATATCATCTTCTCATGCACAAGTTTTGTATGAAGAACTCGGCTTCTAGACAAACTTGCCTCGCTTACTGCTGCACCATAGTTCAAGTAACGCGTGGTAGCAAAGTCTGGGACATAATAAGAACTTGCACTTAAGTTCACAGAAGTCATATATGCCTGCATTTGATCATTTAATACGATTTAGTGAGATGGTGGGATTATCTTTAGTATAGAAAAGCAATTGGTTTAAGTTATATGAGATTATCTGATCTGGTTTACCTGGGAAATGAGCATCTCCCATCTAACCGAACCTGTTTCCTTCTGCAGCTTCTCCATCAGAGGGACCAGTCTCTCAACAAGAAGATTACAACAGAGTCTGATTGCTTCACAGCTTGATTCAGATTTCGTGCTTCCAGCGGTGATTCCTCCTTGGATTAAACTCAAGCTATCAGCTTGAATCACCCTTACCCTCTCCAGTAGACTGTCCTCGCATTTTGTAGAACTCAGACAAAATGCAGCCATTTGTTTTACCTTTGTCCAAAGCCCTTGACCAAGTTCTATCCCTCCAACTTCCACCACAATGGATCCATCACTCAGAATGCTTACCTTCCCAGGAGTTGCCATCCCTCCCGCTTCAAATACAATAGGCACTCGAGAAATCCCTCTCTTGCTCCACAAGTTACATCTGTTGAATTTCTCCACCATTTCTCTCCTTTCATTAAAGCTTGAGGATCTGGCTACCCTATCCCATATTGAAATCAAAGTATACTCGTGAGGCTCTCCACAGATTCCATCATAGAACAACTTGAGGCTATCGTGCGAGTGAAGGTTCACAGTTTTCACAGAATCAACGTCCAAGGAAAGGGTTGATGCTACTTGTTCCATTACACTATCTGCAATGAACGATCCTTGGACTTCCCCAGGTGCTCGCATTGCTGATTTGCTGGAGTGGTTTGTCTTGCATAACTTAATGTCAAATGCCAAAGCACCGAAGTCATATTTTTTAAGTGCTCCCACCAAGTGGATTGGAATGATGGGACTCACATCTAAAGAAATTCCAGCATTTATCAGGACATCGAGTTTCAGAGCTGTGATCTTCCCATTGGATTTGAAACCTACGCTGTATGTTATCTTCATCGGATGTCTTCCTCCTGCCATTATCATGTCGGTCTTGCGGCTGACGTATGTCCTGACTGGTCGCCGCAGCACGTGTGCTGCTAGTGCACATGCTGTAGCTACCTGAAAAACATCAAAGAAAACCAGTTTTTATCTGGTGGGACACTGCTGGAAACGCTTTGATAGACTTGCGGGTTTAATAGCAATTTGGACAAAGAACTTGCTGCCTAGCTTTTTAGGACAGTGAGCTCAGTACTAAAACATAAAATTGAAGGAAATGATATTTCTTGGCTACGCCATATAAGCTACTCACTGGTAAAGATTTGAAGGCCTTTCCACCAAAACCTCCACCAACTCTTCGTGTGATTACACGCACATTATGCTGAGGAAGACCAAGACACTGTGCAATGGCTGCACAGGAATACTCAGGACATTGGGTTGAGCTGTAAACCACCATGCAGTTATCTTCATCCGGTATAGCGAGCGCCGTCTGGGTCTCCATATAGAAGTAATATTGTGACTCCAATTTCATCTGTATGACATACATAATTCATCACAATTTCTTACTTGACCTCAGGGGAGAAACATATCTTTACTTGATCATTATTTCCATGTTTTCTAACCTCGGCATTGATAAGTCTGTGTTCAGCTTCAGCCATTCCTCTCGTTATATCACCAACTGGTTTTGGTTGAAGGAAAGGAGGGGTATGGAAGAAGCTAGATCTCTTAACAGCCTCTTCTACTGTTAGGATTGGTGGTTCAAGGCTCTCTGTGTCATAATCTACCACAACCAGGTTTGCTGCTGAATCTGCATGCTTCTGTGAGTCTGCGACCTGAGAAATCCCATGTCACATACATTATTTAGCCATGGAATATGATGTTTATACGATATCGAGGGCCAAAAATTGATCATTTACCACAAAAGCAAGGCGTTCTCCAGCACACCTAGTAAGTTCATCAGCAAACAGACTCTCACTCTCAAACATCGTCTTGGAACCTACATTCTCGCCATCTTTGGGTATGTCTTTGTAAGATATAAGTGCAGCAACTCCATCTGGTAGTGGGTTGGACTTAAAACCTATATCCTTCACTCTAGCCAAAGGCTTGGTGCTACAGACAAGTGCTCCATAAAGACAATTGGGAGGGGATGGAATGTCATCCACATAAACAGCTTCACCTGCATTTGCTCTGTGATCAGTATTCAGCAAAGAGATGTGGGGAAAAAAATATGCTAGGGCTCAGGTTAAGCCATAAAATACAGACCAGAAGCTTGAAGTGCTGCTCCAGTTTTTCCGATTGCTTCCCCTACAGGGCGATTCTCTTTGCTTGCTTGGAAAACCTGTTTTCCTGATGATAACAGAAGAGAGGACTTTCCATCATGACAACTTTTCTGGGTTGCTTCAGAATCCTCATCTGGAGCAGTTGAATGTCCATTGAGCCAACCATTAGAGGCATTGCCTTTGAAAGGGTCTGCCATGAAGGAGCTAAGGAAGTTGAAGAGAAATCCCACAGCCAGGCTTGATCTGTATTCAGGATTCGAGGCACCCTCATCGGATACTACAGTGCTCTTAACTAGTCCTATAGTTTCATATACAACTGCAGGAGTTACTTTCTTTCCTGCCAAGAACTCTTCAGCGTTCTTCACTCTAATTGCATGTTTTGTTCCATATGCACCAAAGGCCAACCGACACGAACTCATCACACTTCCTTCTGAAGTTTCAGAAATCTCAGCCATGAAGGCAGCATTGAGATGAGCCAATGCATTACCAAGTGGACGTGGTGAAGCTCGATAAGTATCAAAGGCCAATCTACTACCAATTTGAGAAGCTTTCCATTTAGGTACTTCAATGCTTACAAGGACATCCTTGGAACCCATTGGTGCCCTTTCAAGGAACACTTCCAAGGTGAGCTTTTCATTGATTTCAGCAGTTAGTACCTCAACATAAGAGCCAGCTGCAAGAAGGATAGTGGCGATATCTGAAGGAAAATGCTTCCTTTGGGCCATCACCAGATTTCCACCAATGCTACCAGAGTTTCGAACGAATGATGTAGCAACTTTCTCCATATGGGCTGCTATCTTCTGGTATATTTCATCGCTCTCTTTCTTTAAAGCTTTTATCGCTGTTGAAATTGTTACAGCTGCTCCTAGTTTAATCCCAGTCTCATCCTTCTTGATTATTTTCAGCTCGGGAACATACCTGAGAAAATATGAAAAGTTCCATTTATTGATAGTTGACTATAAACTCACAGGATTTTAAGATCTAAACTGGGAATTCTAACAAAATTTTACCTGAGATCAATGTATCTTTCAACACAACCATCTTTTTCTTCCTTGTAGTATCCCACGCCTGTGTTTCCAACCACAAGCTTCACCCTTGTCTCATCGCCATGATCAATACCCTTCATCAAACTCTGAAGCTCCTTAACATTCCCAGGAGCAATCCATGACGACAATGAACCCCCTTTCCCCTGCCCTTTCAGGAACTCAGGAAAATCACAAACTCCATCCCCTGGACTATACAAAGGCAATATGCTCATCTTATTTTGTACACTATCCCCCTTCTTCCAGAACGTGTTGATCCCCAAATCTTCCATGTCAATATCACCTGCAAAGCTCTTGCAAGCATCTGCAATTGGCCTGTAACCCGTGCAACGACAGAGGTTGCTGGCGATGGCCTTCTCCGCTTCTACTGCAGTCAGCTTGGAGAGACGGTCATCCACAGCCTTCTCGGCGTTGACCAGCGCACCGTAGAATGACATGCACATTCCTGGCGTGCAGAAGCCGCACTGTGAAGCATGGAAGCCAGCAAACCTCTTGTGGATGTTGTGGAAGCCAGTTTTGCTGTTCCCAAGACCTTCGGAGGTCGTGATCGAGCATCCGTTCAAGCTGCAGAGCAGCGTAAGGCACGAACTCACGGTAAAGTCCTCAACTTTGTCTAGTTCAGGGTCGTATTTGGAGAGTAGAACTACACAAGCACCACAGCCACCTGATGATATGATCAAAACAAGTGTAAGGCAAAACAGAGTAATGGTCTAGCTAGTTTCTTCATCATTCAACCTAAACTGAACCAATTAAGAGTGTTGGCAATACTTGGCATGTAAGTCATCATCAACATGTTCATTAAGCTTGAATCGACACTATTCGTAACGAATTCCAGACAGAAATTTCTAACTGCATAGGTCTGGAAATCGATAAGCTTCATGAATCATGATACAGAAACTTGTCTAGTAATAATCATGGACTATGCATTTGTGTACCTTCGCCACAGCTGAGCTTGGGACTCTTGAAACTGGTCTGTGAGCGCAGGAACTGGAGCAGAGTAATCGACGGGTCGTCGAGATTCCGGAGCTCGAACCTCTGGCTGTTGATGGCGAACACCAGGCTGCTGTCGTCTTTACAAGTGCCCCTGCCGTTTTCTTCCATTGATGTTTGATGGGTTCCAACAACTCGGTGGAGAAATGAAGGCTTAGTTGAGTTCAACGCCATGAACACTCCCCTATTATGAGGAAAGCTCAGTCAGTCACTCTGTTGGGAGTTGAATCTTGGAAATCAACAGAGGAGTATCGGGCGGCCACCGTTCGTTTGAATGCCCTTATCTATCTATTCACAACACTAAAAATAAGTCATCCAAGTTTGGCGGGTACCTGTCAAGCGATTACGTAGTGATGATTCTATATCTCCATTGAAGCATCGACCACCGTTTTTCTGGAAGGGAACAGAGTGTTTGACGAAAGATTTTGTTTATTACTAATAAGAACCACGATGATTTGTTATTATGTGGTGGTTGAAATCTCAGCTTTCCAACCACTAGTGCCAGTGATTCTTAATACTTATATATGGCGGATTGGCAGTGGAGATTTAAGGTCACCAGCCAATCAGCCATTTTCTCGAGTTCTTTGGCCTGCGGGGTTTCCTTATCGTGTATGCAAAATGCACCACACGAGTGAATAAGAACTTGTCAATAACCAAAATTCAATGGATGTCGCCTTCAATAATGACGATTAAATTAAGCTTAGTTTAAAACATTAAAACGTTATTAAATGGTGATTTGGAATTCTGTACTTGACATGCTGAACACAAGTGAACATAGGTCGAATTGTCAATGGATGTCCCCTTCAATAATGACGATTAAATAAGCTTAGTTTAGAACATTATTAGATGCCAATTTGATATTCTTTACTTGACATGCCGAAAACAAGTGAACATAGGTCGAATTTTCAATGTATGTTGCCGCAACAATGATGAATGAGTAATGATGTTGCATCGAAAAGGAAAATAATTAAAATTTAGTTTAAAACATTATTAAATGGCAATTTGCAATTCTCTACTTGACATGATGAAAACAAGTGAACATAGGTCGAATTTTCAATCAATATTGCCTTCAACAATGATGAACAAGTACTGATGCATCGAAAAATAATAATGATGTGCATCAAAAAGTTTTTTTTTTTTTTGTATCAGAGCCTGGTTTCGATCCAGGGACCTGTGGGTTATGGGCCCACCACGCTTCCGCTGCGCCACTCTGATTTGCTGAAACAAAAATCATACACCCATTACATGATTAGTACTGATTTTGTTAACTCATCTTTCAATAATGTGTTAAGTGCTTGCTATTTGCTACCTCATTAATATTTGCATTATTTTGACATACTGGAGATGAAAATTTCATCTCAAATACATCGAGAGCGCCAACAAAGAAAACAATACAGCGTGCATAATTGCATACCATTACAGAAGTTTCATTCTCCTAGACACACCCAAACCAAACTACCGATAGGAAAAATATGACAAACACAGAGTGTTCCCCTGTTGTGTTCTCCTACTTCCCACAACTGACAAACCTTGTTGGTTCCAACTTCAAAGACAGATAGCCGGTGAAAGCATGCAGAGTTCAAGCTAAGGTTCATATGCAGCCACAATTCATCATCTTCTGCGGCCACAAGAAGTACGAGCTCCAATTCGGAAGAGAATCTAGCCAGTCAAGACAGCATGGCTGAACATACAAGGAGCGAGTAGTGACAGTACGACCAGAAGATCGGTCATGCTTAAAACAAAACACTAGAACACAGACATCAGCTTTCAGTTCTTCCTGCCAGTTGAAACAAGTCCGGCTCCATCTGAAACTAAGCTGACATGGACGGCCCATTCAAACCCGTGCAAAATTCAAACCAAATCCATAACTCAACCAACTCCAACCCACATTACCGGAAACTGCCATAATCTCATCCTTCTCCTACTTGACAGCCAACTGATGAAGATGGTCAGATGGATCAAGTGACTATTTTGCTATGCATCCCACGAATTCATTAACAATTATAATCAGTGACCGTTTCGTTACTAACCTTAAAGTTCAAGGACCATTCATGTCCTTAATTAACCACAAATTTCAAGCGTTTCCTCCCAAACTTACCTCGTCGACTGCAGAACCATAGGCTTCAGTGGTGTCGGTTGGAGGATTAAACAGAGCTTGCTGACGAGTTCATAGCGTCGGAAACAGGCCTGCACTTGGGATTATCAGTATCAATAACAAAGAATCTAGATGAAAATAACAACTAACTTGGGTCACAATTTGGAAGGGAAGCTGACCTTCCTTCTATGTTCCTCTGTCCAACCTCAGAGGGTTCTACTATTGTTCTCCTCAGTGGGTGCACATTTTCCACTTTAAGTACCTCTCTACATTGTCCAGTCCACATTGCTCCTTCACAGTAGGCATGACAGCTGGCACCTCCAGAGTGAAGTTTGGACCATACAGGTCGTGGCAACCCCATGACTGAAGCTGCTCTCGGGCTGCTCTAACTGCTGCTCTCGTCGCACAGTGAACTGAAGATGCCAAGAGCAGTGGTGGCTCGCCACAAGCTGCACAAAGAAACAATCTACATGAGTCTTCTGAAAAAGTACTACAATAGGAATCCAGAAACAGTTTTTTTCCTTCGACTTTCTACACAGATTAACTACTAATGAGGAACTTAGATGTGACGGCTGACTCGGTACCTTTGGAAGACAGCACACGGTTCTTGTGATGTCCACTGCTTAGTATTTCGACGTTGAACTCTTTTGGTATTGTGTCTACAGTAGGAATCTTGTATGTCCATGTTCCATCTGAGGTTACTAGTCCGTCGGAGTTTCTTGTGTACTCTTCCAACATAAAATACCCAATACCTTGGACAAAAGCCCCTTCGATCTGCAAAATAATAATTTTTATTTCTTACATAGCAGAAGAAAATGAACATAGTCAAACTTATAACAAGTGGCTTTGAAGTTAAGCCAGAACTGGCGACTTTCCAGGTTTTGCACTAATAACAACTGATGTAATATGTCAAACATCCAGCTTACCTGTCCTAAATCGACAGCAGGATTTAGGGTTCGTCCACAGTCATAAAGAACATCTGATCTTAGAATTCTTGTCCCCCCAGTAAGCAGGTTTACCTCCACCTGCATCACCAGAACATTCATATCTCATATCATTATCCATGAATTTCATCTATGCAAACACAAAAATCCAATCAAATGAAGGCAATCTATCTGTATAGAACTCACCTCACTCACTGCAGCGCCGTAGGTTAGGTAGCGGTTGGAAGAAAATTCAGGGCCAGAGTACGTGCTTGCGGATAAGTTCACAGCTTGCATATGTGCCTGTATTGATCAGCAAGTTTGACATCCAGATACACCCTTAGTCTCAGGAAAAAAAATCTGTTGGGATTCCAATTTCTTAGCACCATATAATAGTCATGGGAATTTAAAGAATCTCTACACATTTTTTTTTTGGTTGAAGTCTCTACACATTTCCAAATAGTTACCTGTTGAATAAGCATCTTCCATTGCACAGAACCCATTTCTGTCCTTAACTTTTCCTTTAGAGGCCTCAGTCTCTCAACCAAGATCTCACAGCAGAGTCTAACTGCTTCACAACTTGACTCAGACGTAGTGCTTCCAGCAGTAAAGCCGCCTTGAATCAAACTTAGAGTATCAGCTTGTATTATCCTTACTTTCTCCAACAAGTCTATCTCTAAAGTATCACATTTGATCAACCCAAGAGCAAATGCTGTCATCTGCTTTACCTTTGTCCAGAGTCCCTGGCCTAGTTCTATTCCTCCAACTTCAACAACAACAGACCCATCTCTTAAAATGCTTACTCTCCCAGGAGTAGGTCTCACTATCACTTCGTGAACTGTTGGCACAGAAGAAATACCTCTTTTCTTCCACAAATTGCACTTATTAAACTCAATTACCATTTCCCTTCTCTTGCAATATTCAGAAGACAGGGCTAACTTCTCCCAGAGTAAACTCAAAGTATACTCTTGTACTTCACCTGAGCTAGCAGGATGGAACAATTTAAGGCTATCATGTGTGTGAAGGTTAATTTTTCTCACACAGTCTGCATTCACTGAAAGAGTAGAGGCTACGTTTTCAATTATAGCTTCTGCAACATATGATCCCTGAACCTCTCCAGGTCCTCGCATTGCTGATCTACTCACTGTATTAGTTTTGCAGACCTTTATATCAAAAGACAAAGCACCCCAATCATACTTTCTAAACACGGCCATGAAGTTTGATGGCATTACTGGACTTATGTCTGTATATATTCCAGCATCGACTAATATGTCGAGTTTCAGTGCGGTGATTTTCCCAGTCGACTTGAAACCAACACTGTAAGTTATCTTCATTGGATGCCTTCCTCCTGCCATTATCATATCAGTTTTGCGATTGACGTATATTCTGACAGGCTGGCGCAATACATGAGCAGCAAGTGCGCAAGCTGTAGCAACCTAAAGCATAAACATTGTTGAAGTGAATTAAACCAATATTTAATTCACAAATAACTTAAAGAGAACGTGTTGGTTTTAGTTTTGGTTGAACAATTTTTCTATGAATCATTATCAAAAGAATAGCTGTTTTGAAAAATATGATTGAAGTGCCTTACTTCCAATTGACTTGTGTTCTGCCGAAATGAAAACACCATAAATTTTGTTTTAATTAAATTGAACATATAGATGTTGATGGAGAAGTAGCTTACTGGCATTGATTTAACAGCCTTCCCACCAAAGCCACCTCCAACCCTTCTAGTAATTACACGTACATTGTGTTCCGGAACACCAATGCATTGAGCAATTGTCGCATGAACATACTCAGGGCACTGAGAAGAACTGTAAACTACCATGCAGTTATCTTCATCAGGCACAGCAAGGGCAGTTTGGCTTTCCATATAGAAGTAGTATTGAGAGTCGATCTTTACCTGCATGACATAGTCACAATTCACAAGTGAACATACCTTACAAGGGAAGACCATCAGAGGAAGAGAATATATCACTAGCATACATAGGAGGGTACGAGATTCTTGGCCGAATCCTTTTTCTAAACATAAAATATTTTTGTGTAAAGGTACCTCGGCGGAAAGAATCGTGTGATCCGCTTCAGCCATTCCTTTTGAAAAATCACCAACTTCTTTGGGATACAGAAAAGGAGGAACCTGGAAAAAGCTAGACCTAGCAAAGGCATCTTCAACTGTTAAGATTGGTGCTTCCACATTCTCTAAATCATAATTTACAATGGCGAGCCTTGATGCCACATCGGCTTCTTTCTGGGTATCAGCAACCTATAACAGAAAATGAACAGAGTGATTGAGTACAAAAGACCAAATTTACGTTCTTCCATATATTTCACATGTATCCCATTGTTTCCTAGATTTAAGTTGATAGAATTGAGGTAACAGAGTTGATGGGTAGGAAAATATACCACAAAGGCAAGGCGATCTCCAGCACATCGAGTAAAATCATCGGCAAACAAAGGTTCAGGTCCAAATATAGTCATGGAACCTACATTCTTCCCACCGTTTGGTATGTCCTTAAAAGTAATGAGACCAGATATCCGATTTGAATGTGACTTAGGGTTGACTTGTATACCCTTTACTCTAGCTAATGGCTTTGTGCTATAAATGAATGAGCCGTGTAGGCAATTTGCAGGGGAGGGAATGTCATCAACATAAACTGCTTCACCTGAAAAACAAGCCAATTATAAATACATCAAAAGAAGAATTAATCAAATCAAGCCAATACATCACCACCATGAAACTGAGAAAGTAGGTAGTGAAAATGCCTAGAAAAGCCATCATATTTCATGCCAAGTAAAGCAGAACAGTGTACTAAGCACCACAAATAAAACAGCCCACAAGTGAGTTGTAATATTGCGTCAAATTAAGCATACACACCAGAAGCTTGAAGGGCAGCTCCAGATTTTACAATCGGTTCACCAACAGGATGGTAATCCTTGTTTAATTGAAACACCTGCCTTGAGGATGACAGCATTCTGGAGTATTTAACATGGTCATCCTCTTCATAATTCTCTTTAGCGCCCTTGGAAGACAAATTACACCTAGAGATTCCAACAGTAGCATCTGCCAGGGGACCCAGGAATTCAAATAGAAAACCAACTGCCACACTTGACCTATAGGCTTCTCTGCTGGTGCCTTCTTCAGGTACCACTGTAGCTTTAACCATATTAATGGCTTCATAAAGAACTCTAATTGTCAACACCCTTCCTGTTAATAATTTCTCAACTTCCCTTGCTCGTATTGCATGTTTTCTTCCATAAGCACCAAAAGCCAGCACACATTTATTTAGTACAGTTTCACGAGAAGATCCACAGGATGAAAGTTCAGCCAAGAAAGCAGCATTTACATAGGCCAATGCATTTCCATGATCTCTAGGTGCAGCCCGGTAGGTCTCAAATAACAGTTTACTATCTACTCTAGAATTTCTGCCCTTTTTCAGCTCCCGGATCGGGATTTTAACACTTGAAAGTACACTTTTTGAATCCAAAGGCGGTCTTTCAAGGAACTCTTCTAAGCTAACCGTCTCATAAGTTGTACCACTTCGTATATTAACAAAAGCACCAGCTCCAAGAAGTATGGTAGCAATGTCAGATGGAAAATGTGCCCTCTGAGCCATGACTAAATTCCCACCTATACTGCCAGTATTTTGAATGAACTTGGTACCTATTTTCTCCAAATGAGCAGCGATCTTCTTACAAACGATATCACCTTCTGAAGGAGATTCGATTCTACAAGCTTCTCTCAATCCGCAGATAGCTTTAGAAATGGTCACAGCTGCCCCTATTTCAATCCCTACCGGATCCTGCCTAATGCATGAAAGTTCAGGTATATACCTTAGGTCAATGTAGGTATCACAGTTCTCAAGTTCCTTATAATAACCGGCACTAGTGTTACCAACCACGAGTTTGACCTGGCTAACTCTGCTGGAATTGATGGTTTTCAACATGCTGTCAAGCTCCAAGAACGCTTTTGGAGTAAGCCACCGGAGTTTCTCTGAACCGAAAAGCAAATTACTCTTGAATTCCGATTTAAAAAATTCCGGCAATCTAGAGATACCTTGTTTATTTTCATACAGAGGCATCCTGCTTGCCTTGGTTTTACAGAAGGAGTTAAACCCTAAATCCTCCATGTCAATGTCCACTGCAAAACTTTTGCACGCATCAACAATAGGTCGATATCCAGTACACCGACAAAGATTGCCAGCAATGGCTTTTTCAGCTTCAAAAGCTGTCAGCTTGGAGATCCCCGAGGCTGATTCTGGTCCATTTGTCTTATCAGCATTAACGAGAGCTCCATAGAGGGACATGCACATTCCAGGAGTGCAGAAGCCACATTGGGAAGCATGAAAACCAGCAAATCTCTCATGAATTGGATGAAACCCATCTTTGCTATTTCCAAGGCCTTCAGTTGTTGTGATTGAACATCCATGTATGCTGCAAAGCAGGGTAAGACATGAACTTACCGTGAAGTTTTCAACTTTACCAACTATGTCATCATACTTAGAAAGCAGAACAACACAAGCTCCACACCCGCCTGAAATACATAACAAGAACATAAATTCAAAACCCAATAGAGAAGATGGAACTTTAATTTCATCCAAGGCACTCATATTATGATACAAAACAATATGATCACTTTGACACTCAGTTATGAGTACCAAGAGTAACAGCAAATCATAAGTAAATCTAAGAGAACAAAGAACCGTTGAGCTTGATTCCCAAATATGCAGAAAACCAGCCTTTACCTAAAAATTCATCCATCAGCTTGGATAACCAAAGCAAACGAAAGTAAAAGACTTGAGTGCAAACTTTTCATTCCGATCAAGCCAACTCAACTCAAGCGAAAACCAGTCCAAATCAGAACCCCACAAAATTCTCAAATCCCAGTTGACGACTTCAATCAAAAACTCGTGAACTTACCTTCACCACAACCGAGCTTGACACTCTTGAAAGGAGTTCTGGTGCGCAAGAACTCGATCAAAGTAGTCGAAGGGTCGACGTCGGAGAGCTCGAACTTTCGACCATTAATAGCAAAAACCAGGGCTTTGCTAGTTCCCGTTTCACTTCCTTCTTCCATTCTCGAAGCGTCGCTCTCGGTGGCAGAGCAAGAGAAGTTGGAGACGGTAGCTGCTGCTGCTGATGTATTATATACCAGAGCCCCATTTGGGTCTGCTGAGAGTTCAATCAAAGAAAAAGATAACAAATTTTCGGTGGGGGAAGCGGACAAAGAGCAAGAGAGAGAGAAGCAGACAGGCTTCTGACTGACTGATGTAACCAACGGTTCAGCGCAACGAATCTTCGCCTTAATAGCTACCCGCTTTCCCGCCCGCATCTCGTTCTCCACCTGGTTTTCCGGTTGCAAGTTGCATGGAATATAATAATGACTGGGATTCCCTTCAATGTTCCATCTCCTTTCCCAATCTTCATTTAATTTTCTTTTGGACCACTCTGATTTTCAGTTTTCTAACATTTTCAGTTTCCAAAATCCAGATATAGTGAATAGATCACTTCTACATTGTAAGTATTGGTACTTTAAAGTACAATTTGAAGTTGCACTACAAATTTAAGTTGTATTATCATAAGAGAATTTAGCCTTTATGTTATGACACAACTTCATAACATAAATGTACAACTTTAGTTTGTATTATAAGGAGACTTTACAAAAGAGTATAGGTACAATCCGAAATTGTACCATAACGTTAAAAGTACAGCTTCAAGTTGTACCATAAAGGCGAAAAATAAAACACCAATGCTTTCAAGCATTGTAAAATTCCTCATAGTGAATATGATAGGTAGATGAGTGTGGATAATCATTTTTTTCTTACTAATAAAATTTGGATGTATGACGGGTGAATCATTACCCGCAAAACCACCAGATATATTCTTTAATTAATCTACATTCAATAATAATATACCTATAATTATTCTCACAAAATGTTTTTTTCACTTCTATACACATCTCAAAATGTTAAATCACAATTTATTCAATTAAATGATAATTATTTTTCATAAATTTTTGTTTGACTTGCAACATAAATTATACGTCCAACCCATAATGGTACAAATGAATAAATGTGAATAATTTTTTCATCACCGATCAAAATCATAAGTGAGTGAATTTTAACCTATAACTCGTACTCGCTTAACCCACTCATTGTTCATCCCTAGGTTCACGCATCACGTTATTTTCATGTGCAAGTAGGTATAAGGCTCGTTTTGCAGGATATCCAACCCACAGCTTCTCATTGGATCTCTCTAAAAACAAAATACAAAGCAACCTCCCAAATTTGAGATGATGTAGCCGTATGCATTAGTCTGTTTTTTAAGTTTGCATAACAATAAGAGGTGGGTAAAGCTCAGTAAGCAAGCATGTAGTGATCACTCAAATTTTAGGCTAATGCAGACAAACCATATGGGCATATGGCCATAACAGTGAATGGCCCCTTGAGCAAGGCATGAAACTTCTTAGTAACTCAGGAGAGCAGGCAGAAAGTGGAAGCAGAATCGCACCATTTCTCATCAGACATCATGGGGTTCTCAAGCTCTGCACTTAGACTGGAAGCAGGACCATCTCGCTGTCCAAATATGAGTAGTAGTAGTTGTTGTTGTAGTTTGGATGTCTCCAGAAGCAGGAAAGCCCAGCATTTCCGTGCTTGGGAGACTTGAGATAACAAAGATGCAATTCTTTCAGGTTGCTCTCAAGCTTCTGGTTTATTGCCATTGAATGATTTTACAAACTCCTAAAATGATCCACTCTTTATCCAGAACCTGAAGCTTTTAGCCAGTGTGTAAATTAGAAAAATAGAGAACAAAATTTCATCAACTCAAAATACTCAAAATTCATCTTCAGCAGTGCAGTAGACAGCTTTGAGTGACAAATGAAGCAAAGAATCTTATAGCTCGTTTAGGGAACATTGTTTAGGACCCCATCTTAATCGTCATTTTTTTTATCGAGCCTGGTGTCGAATCGCCATCATTACACTTCATTCTTAGTCTGGCTGCTGGTCTAGTGATCCCCTTAAGCAGATTATGAGATTGAAGACTACATATGTACAGAGGTAGAGAGAGCTGGAAAGTGCCATTCAAACTACAAATGTACTCTCTTCTAAAACTTTCCTGACAGCAACTGCAAATGCATGATTCACTAAACTGTAAGGAGGATAGTCTACATTTCCTGTATTACCATAACAGTCACGACCATCAGCAACCACATTCAGATCGCCTGTCTTTCCTTCCTGGTGAGTATGTTTCAGAGCTCAAACAAGTGAAATGATCTACAGATTTCCCGAGAAGAAGAACTAAACATCCAAAGCAGCCGATTGAGTTGGGAATCTTTCCCATAGCTTGAGTGCTTGAAGCACGACTCCATAGACTGGGAATTCTGTGGTAGGTTCTATCAGCAGAGTCTGAGAAAAAAGCAGCAGAGAGCTTCTCAATGCTTAGAAGAGATGATGCAACTCCTCACTAAACTTGCCTCCTGAAACCAAAAATTACAAGACGAAAGGACAAAGCAAGAAACTTTACTTCAGGCCTGAGAACCCTTCAACTGGATATTATCAAGACCAGCAAAAGGAAAAAAAGGGAAAGATTGCTTGCTTCGCTACACTTTATCACTCTAAAAGGGTAAAGGTTTCGCACGGTTCAACCAGTAAACCGGGTTGCAAACCTGGTTAGGGATGACCCTGGCCCAGCCAGAAAAAAACAAACTGCTCGGCTAGACGTCGTTTTAACGCGGGGAATAAAAAAAAAAAATTGATGCCAATTGAAACCTTCTTCAACAGTCGAGTCGACTTCTTCTTCCCCTTCTCCTCCGGACAAATCCCTAATTTCATCTCCGATTCAGCTGCTCCCTCACTGCCAGTCACCAGCCCGCCTTCTCGCCGACCATCGCCAGTCCGCCACTGTGTATCTCTCTCCGCCGCCGACACCACAGCCATTCGTTCTCCCGCCGGAGACCAGCTCCTCCGTTCCCCCGACGCTCTTCTCTGGTAAGCCTGTTCTAGGAAGTTGCCCCCTTGCTGTTGTGTGTTAGAATTGAGTTGTGCTGGTTGCTAATCCGGATTGCTACCTGTTTCTGATAAGCCTGTTTTTAGATGGATTTTACTAACCTCGAACAAAGATAGGTTCTTTATGGGGAGTTAAAGTATTTCAAAGGTGATTGATTTCAGGGTCATGACATCCCAGGCCACTTTGTTAAGGCAGACCCTAGAGTGGTCGTGTTACCACTTACCAGTGATTGCTTGCAGATAGAAGTTGAGAATGAATGCTAATGTACCTTTACTTGAAAGTCCTTTCGTTGGCGGTGGGCCAATTTCACAAACCTACACACATTAAAGCTCTGCATTTCAAGTTTCCCACATTGAAATAGATTGCACATTTCAGATTGATGGGGAAGAAAGAGTCTTTCTCTGTTGTCTTGGCTTTTAAAGTAAACTAGTTTCAGCGATTGCACAGTCGTCGGAGCTCCGCCGAAACCATGGGGCTTCTCAGCATCATCAGGAAGATCAAGCGGAAAGAGAAGGAAATGCGTATTCTCATGGTGTTCGTAGCTCTGTTTCCCTCCATCTCCCACTTCTCCGTTTCCAATTTACTCCACATCCGCAGCAGCTCGAAATCTAATCCGGGTTGATTTCCCCAATCGTTTTTTCTTTTCCGCAGCGGTCTGGACAACTCCGGGAAGACGACGATCGTCCTGAAGATTAATGGAGAAGACACCAGCGTCATCAGTCCAACCCTCGGCTTCAACATCAAGACCATCACTTACCACAAGTAAGAACTAATCCCCCACAAACCCTAATGTCAATTTCCACCCCACCCTCTTTTTCTAACTGTAGTCTCTGGAGAATTGCCATTGTTATGTGTCTGCAAGGTATTTGTTGAATATATGGGATGTTGGTGGGCAGAAAACGATAAGGTCGTATTGGAGGAACTACTTTGAGCAAACTGATGGCCTGGTTTGGGTTGTGGATAGTTCAGATCTTAGAAGGCTAGGTGATTGCAAAATGGAACTTGATAATCTGTTGAAGGAAGAGGTAATAATCTAGTTTGTCTCTGCCCACTTTGCTGCTGCTGGCGAATTTCAGCTCCTGGCCTTTGGTATTCATAGCTGTTTGCTGTTTTTGATTTGGCAGAGGCTATCTGGAGCTTCTTTGCTGATATTTGCTAACAAGCAAGACATCAATGGGGCTCTTACACCCGACGAAATAGCCAAGGTACTACTACAAAAGGCCATATCGTAATGGAACTACTATGATCCCAATGCATATTGACATTGGAGAATCTTTCTTTTTCCTTTCTCAGTTTAGTAACCCTGGTTTGATGCCTTTTGTAGGTACTGAACTTGGATAACATGGATAGAACCAGGCATTGGAAGATCATCGGTTGTAGCGCCTATACAGGTGAAGGTCTACTTGAGGGATTCGACTGGCTAGTTCAAGATATCGCCTCCAGAATCTATGTGCTTGACTAATATCATAAGCAGATGTCGACCTTTTGTTCTTGGTTTCCTTTTGTATTTGTGAGGATTTGGATCATAGGAAGTGAGTGTTTTGATCTTAGTCTCGTCGCCTGAACTTTAGCGCACAGAGGCTTCATTTTTTAACTTACTGGACCTTGAGGCGCAACTCCAAACTTGCACTGCTTAGTGCTAAATGAGGTAAAAACATGTGCTTCATTCACATTCCAGATTACAAGGCCCTCTTTATTTCACACTATTTCACACTAGAATCAATACCCACGGCTACGCCGCGGGAACTAAATTTGCATCATAATAATCATTTAGTGGCTTGTTCAATTGATGACAAATTGAGGTTGTATTCTTTCCGGTGGTGTGGATTTCAGAGTAATGGAAGTATGGTTGGCAAACCTTTGTATCATGAGTTTTCATAGTTAATTGCCACGGTGCTCAAATTAGTCAATCTCATAGTCAATTGTTACAGTAATAGTCAATCTCATAGGCAATTTGTTTCTTGGGGGAGAAGGAAATTATGGGGTCGAGAAGAAAATTCTGAGGGAATACATCTCTCGTGCAATGTTTAGTCATAATCTTACAGGCGATGGTTAGAATGGGAATACAAAAAAGCTCCGAACTTAATTCTTCAGCCTTTAAATGGCTTGACTCTTCACTTCTTACTGTGCCATGCTTTTTTTTTTTTTCCAAGAAATGTCAAGAGAAAACCTATACAATCTACCCCGACCCTGCCCAACCCAATACATCAGAGAAGCCAACCCACAAAATCAAAGGCGCAAAACTCTAAAGGGGAGAGTAACAGTGCTTTCTGCGCCACTCTATGGGCAGCACTGTTAGCAGTCCGAGGAACTGCCCTAAACTCTAAAGAAATAGAGACGGAAGAAAGGAGAAGGGAGCAATCCCGAAGCACCGGACCTCCAAAGGAGACAGAGAGAGCACCTTGACGAAGCTGCCGAATCACCACCTCTGAATCTCCTTCTATGATGACCCGAGGCAGCACTTTGGAGACTACAAGGGCGAAGGCGGCCCTAGCTGCTAGGAGCTCCGCAAGATAGGGATCAGCAATACCGGGAAGGAGAGACCCTAAATCCAGAGCCACATGCCCATCTGAACTGCGCACCACAAGACCAGACGAGCACCCAGAAGGACGAACAGCAGCATCAAAGAGGATCTTCACAAAGCCAACAGGAGGAGGGGACCAAGACGAGAGGCGAGAACGGGAAGGCTGGGGCGGAGCAGGAAGGGAGGAAGACAGATCGCGAACTTGGAAAAAAACACTGACGAGCGAGAGACCGGGCATGAGGCTGGACATGCTCAAAGACCACCTTATTTCTAGACTTCCAGATCCTCCATAATACACAAACGTATAGGAGAATGTGGGTTTGGGGGTGCTCAGAAAGCATAACATGTCGCCACCAGAGACTGAAATTCACAGTCGGGGCCGAGGAGATGAAATCATTTAGACCTATGAGCGACCACAATCTTGTGGCCAAGGGGCATTTGAAGAACAGATGTTCAAGACTTTCCGGTCTTCTCCAGCAAACCGGGCAGCGAACTAGACAGTTTACTCTTCTGGTACTTTGAAAACCATAATTTAATTAATTCTAAAAGTCAAAAATTAATTATGACCGTCAGAAGTTAATTCTTTCTATCCCATAATTTGATATATAAACCAACCATAAAGGTTGTAAAGCGCCATAAAAGGACCGCTTTAGTGACTCATTAATCACTTGTAACGGATCATTAAGGACCCAATAACATCAAAGAAAATAACTGATGTATTAAAACCCAAATAAATGGACCAATGAGGCCATTAATTGGTTAAGAGCCAAAGTTAGCTTGCTAAGCTTCCGCCCACTTTTTTTTAAAAAAAAAAAAAAAAAAAATTGCTTTAGTTAATCACTAAATTCTTGTAACGTTTAATCAAAAGGCCATTAAAACCCCAATAACATCAAATAATTGATGTAATAAAACCCAAATAGGGAATTAACGACACCAAGCGTCAAATCAGTCCGAAACGGACGAGTGCAGCCATTAAATGATCATTTTAATGCTCACCGGACGAGCCGGTTCGGACAGGTACGCTTAATCAGGCTTGATTACAGCCTTGATTCGGGTTAATGGTTACCCCAATTGCGCCCCGACAGGTACGCTTATCAGGCTTGATTACAGCCTTAAACCCTCTAATAATGGGACCGAGGGACACTGATTTAATTACAATCAATATCATTAAATAGCGTAACGGATCATCGGAGGCGTCTGGGGATCGGCTATCGGCTTACTCGACGCCGGAGGTTGAACTGAGAATCTGGGTACCCAGTAAAACATCAAGCAAGCAAGCTACGCTTCTTACTGTGCCATGCTGCCAGCAACGAAAGGCAGACAGGAAAGCAAGCCCTCACAGGCAGAACAACATGTTCGAGATGAGTGAAGTGAGAGAATCGAGAGGGGCTACATCACACTGCTGGCTTAGGCTTGGGAACTCCGTATACCTAAAAGCACAAAATGAAAGTACTCAATGGAAGTAAAGATACAACTAACTGATATGTAGCTTTTTTCGTACAAAAGATACAATTACAGAGCTGCATTGTGCATTGTATAATTAGTATCGGCAAGCAAAATCCTCGGTTAGTCTCAGTTCAACAAAATCCAACTAATTTGGACAGGACATCAATAGATTTTTTCCACCACCAAATTAGTCTTTTATCATTCACAGAAACCCACCGGGACTGTCTAATAAAACAGATCGAAGAAAGGAATGAAAGAATGCGAACGCTCAAGAAGTCTGTACCTGATCTGTTGCTTCCCTGTCGTACGAAACCCAGCTGAAAACAATCAATAAATGCGATAAATCAGGGTACAACAACAAACATAAAAGTAACTAACACAAACAAAGGGAGATTATAAACGACAATAGGAATTTGATCACTCTTCTACTAATTCATCAGGACACAATAGATATTACCATACTGAAGAAAATGAGCTGGCTGGTCATAACCAAAGCCAACAAAAACATGTTGAGAACTTTAAAAGGAAAAACATTGAAATTTTAAGAACTGCAATGAAGAACAAATTGAGGAACAAAACAGAAATAGAAAATTATAAGAATCTGTGAGCTGAGAGGGGCATACTCTTAAAGTGGTTGAGCAAATAGCAATTCACATAAAATTATATTGCTGCAACATGACGTCGTTTTAACGCGGGGAATAAAAAAGAATTGATGCCAATTGAAACCTTCTTCAACAGTCGAGTCGACTTCTTCTTCCCCTCCTCCTCCGGACAAATCCCTAATTTCATCTCCGATTCAGCTGCTCCCTCACTGCCAGTCACCAGCCCGCCTTCTCGCCGACTATCGCCAGTCCGCCACTGTGTATCTTCGCCGTCGCCGCCGCGACTTTCTCTCTCCGCCGCCGACGCCACAGCCATTTGTTCTCCCGCCGGAGACCAGCTCCTCCGTTCCCCCGACGCTCTTCTCTGGTAAGCCTGTTCTAGGAAGTTGCCCCCTTGCTGTTGTGTGTTAGAATTGAGTTGTGCTGGTTTCTAATCCGGATTGCTACCTGTTTCTGAATTGATTGAATTGCTGGTACTTGGGTTTGGGAGCATAATCAAATTTTCTTGATGAGTTTCAATAGTTTTTTTAGATGGATTTTACTAACCTCGAACAAAGATAGGTTCTTTATGGGGAGTTGAAGTATTTCAAAGGTGATTGATTTCAGGGTCATGACATCCCAGGCCACTTTGTTAAGGTAGACCCTAGAATGGTCGTGTTACCAGTGATTGCTTGCAGATAGAAGTTGAGAATGAATGCTAATGTACCTTCACTTGAAAGTCCTTTTGTTGGCGGTGGGCCAATTTCACAAACCTACACACATTAAAGCTCTGCATTTCAAGTTTCCCACATTGAAATAGATTGCACATTTCAGATTGATGGGGAAGAAAGAGCCTTTCTCTTTTGTCTTGGTTTTTAAAGTATATCTTACTCTTGTCATGGAATTCTCATGAGAAGAAGGTGATGTTGTCAATGCAGGTTGATAAGTACCTGTGACTTGATGATCAGCCCTCTTGTTTTCTCAACATGAACAACCAGCGTGGCGAAGTACATGTAAAGAAACTGGGTTTTTGTTTTTGTTGTTGTTGTTATTTGCAAGTATGGATGCTGAAAACTAGATTGTAAAGTTGTGAACTTTGTCATTCATTCCATCATTGCGCAGGAAGAACCAACCGTAGCAGGATTCGAGGTCCCAAATTCTCCCGATTCAAGCTACAGCAATCCTTACCCCGGGACCGAAGACGAGGCAAGGGACCCACCTGCAGTCCCACCACATTTGCAACAGACCTTGCTTACCTACCCGGCAAGTGCAGACTCGTCGGAGTCGGTCCCACCTCCACAGAATGTTATTCTGAACCATCTCTACATCGAGAATCGAGAGCCTCCACGATCCGTGGCGGCACTCGGGTTCACTCATCGCTTTAGATCAAAGTACGTTACGGTTGTGCTATACAAACCTGTTCAGAGGAGGGGGAGCACCAGCTCATAGGATGCACATAGAATAAGAAAGGAGGCCTTCATTAGAATGTGGGTTTTATCTCCCTCCCCCCTGGCTCTCCCTCATTTGTTCAACTTGCTTCCTATAGGGTGTGCAGATTAGAAGGGAGAAAGGGGATGATCAGGGAAAGAAGCCAGAAAGGAGAATTTTTATTTCCTCACGACCGAAATGATGATTGAACCTTGGAGGGTTCTTCTCTCAGCTGGGATTGTCAGCTGTTGTCATTAGGGCTTAGATATAGCATTGGATGGTTTCTTACCTTTCTTATTATGTAAAAGAAAGGCAGAAACATACTTTTGTGTGTTCATTCAATGATTTGTCCATCTTGATGGTAATGGCTCTTATTTAGTGATCATATATCTAATCTTATATAGCATTTGATGAGTTAGAAACTGGTCTGTTTCTGTCTGTAACTAGAGTGTTTCTGTTTTGTGTATTCTGTTTCTGGTTTGCTTACTGCTTCCCTGTTCTCATACATAAGTTTTCTACATATTTATTGTCGATTTATCTTTCCCGACAATTTTATCGCGTTTCAAATTTGGTTTGGGATTTCGATTTGTTTCGGGCTTCATCGTTTGTTTTATTTGTTTCTCGCGTTTCGAACTTAACAGAGGTCATGCAGATAGATATCTGAACTACTTCAGATGATCAAACCTAAATTTATGAGAGCTAGATATAAAGCATTGAACGCGGCATGGAGGTTCATCGTGTGAAATTCAAGTTACAATCTTCCTCAACATTATGAATATTGTCTACGACCTTTCTCTACCATGAAAGTATCAGCAATTCAGCATTCTGCCTCTACTAACTCGAATTACTTTGACAACTGTCTTGAAAAAACAATGAACAGAGTTTGCACATAAGGGCATTATTCCTCCAAGAAAAGGTTTGGAATTTGGAAACAATAACAAGGAATATCCTTGGCTTTGCCTAAGCATGAAGCCACAACCATGAACATATCTCCTCCAACCATGAACAATCGTGGAAGATGATCCCCAAAACTTGCTATATAGCTTGCTAGTAATGCAAAAAGGACAGGAATCTCAATTACCAATCCCAAAGAAGCTTGCCATAAGCACGTACACAAAGAATAACACCACCTTAAAGCAAAGAGGATCTCATCGTGTTATGTCTCCCATCCTCTAATAGTTGTGCATATAAAAACACCTACAAATCCTCCTACACATCTTCATCCTATCTCATCACACCATAAAAACCAAATTCCTTGTAGTTTCAAAGTTCATATTCAGAAGCTCAGAGACTATAACCATGGCAACGGGGACGAGGGCTGCTTCTCAACGATCGTACGAAGATTTCGAACCCACCACCGAGTGGAAGCGGGAACCCTCCGCCGATACCTTGCTCGTCTACCTCCCTGGTAAGGTTTTCGCGAATAGTATGCACTCATTTTTGTCCGCGCATGTGTTACGAAACTGTATTGTTATATTGTGACTGTGCAGGATTCAGGAAAGAGCAAATGAAGGTGCAGGTGACTTCTTCCCGGCAGCTGAGGATCATGGGAGAACGTCCGATGGGGAACAACAACAACAACAAATGGAGTCGTTTCAAGAAGGAGATTCCCATTGGATCGAACTACGACACCAATGAAATCAATGCCAGGTTTGACAAAGGGATTCTCTACGTCAAACACCCCAAGCTCATCACTCAGCAGCCGCAGCCTGCCGCCGGCGTCAATAACCAGCCATTACCGTCGCAAAAACCGCCGCAACCGAGACCGGCGGCACCTGTGGTGGAAGCGCCGAAGCCAATTCCACCGCCGCCGCCAGCTGCAGCAGCGCCACAGCCGGCGTCAGGGAGGACGCAGGATCAGAAGCCACAATCCCACCAGCCAGCTTCTAACGGCAAGGCTACGGCGGCGACTGCAGTTCAGCCGCCGGCGCCGGCTTCTGCGCCGCCGAAAGAAGCGTCGATATGGAAGATTCCGCCAACAGAGCCCTCTGTTTCCGGGCCTCCCCGATCTGAAACGAAGAACCCAGAAACGGTAAATGTTCGGAAAAGGGTAATCAGATTCAGCTGCTCTGTTTTTTCCAGCTGTACTGCTGATCACCCCATTTTTTCCCACAATTTTTCAGGGCATGGGAGCAAAGCCGGATAAATTCTCGGAAGAACAGAGGAAGGAGAAAGATGAAAGGAAGACAACAAATGGGCAGAGTCCGGAACCAAAGGCCGACGAAATGAAGAAAGAAGAAGGAGGTGGCAGCAGCAGGGGAAGGATTTCGTCGCCATTGATAGCAAGTGAGAAGTACAAGAATGCAATGAGTGGGTTGGGAATGAAGGTAATGGAGATGAAGGAGAATCCCAAGAGCCTGCTGAACTTGGTTTTCGCTGTTTTGACCGGCGTCGTCATCCTGCTCTACCTCAAGAACGCGGCTAAGTCGCTGCTGAAATTCAAGGGCGGTGCTGACATTGACGATGATCAGCTGCTACTATAACTTCCCCCCCTAGAATCAAAGCCTCTGTTACCGTGAAAATTGACATTGATCGCTGATTTCTTACAATTGGTTTAGGATCACTGGAATAAGAATGTAATCGCTAATGACAAGCAAAATGAGTGGAATTTGTAACAGATTTAACGAAAGTTGAACTCTTTCATGTGAATCAATGGCTGATCTTCATTGCTACCAACTATGTGTATTGCTGGTGCCTTAAGAAACTTTCTTGCAATCAATGGACATGAATTCAGAAGTTTAAACCCAACACTGAAATAAGAACAGAGTATCTTAAGAAGATCAATACTGATTGAGAATTGCATCTGCTAAGAAAATCTTTTGGACTTGTATTGATGGGGTGTTTCGGAAAGAAACGACCCTCCAAAAATTGACGTATGCCTCTTTATACAGCGCGCACACGGTATTCTTTAGTAAAAGGCGAAAGAATAGTTCGCTGTGTGCTCACTGCAAGGCTGCGTGGTTTTGAAATGTGGGACTGCTTGAGAGTTTAAATGAAATTTGGTGTTAGCTTCTCATAAGATTGCCGATGTGGTAGGAATGCTATACAGGGAAGACAACTTATTATTGGGCTTCATCATGATTTGCACTACCCAGCTTCTAGATGGGTTTTCATTTTGGGCCTGTCAAAACCCACCAAAACTTCAACCATGGGCTTTTCCTGCTATCGCCGGTGACTAACATTTCCTTCAATCGGATTTTTCTGATTAAAAAAATCTTCTCCGACGAGAATTTCAGGCTCAGCAATCCTCACTGCCCGTCACCTGGATCGGTGTCGCCGACTCCGGCGAAGCAAAAAGGCGGACCCTTGAAGGGAAGTGATAAGAGAAGTTGGCTCGTTAGCACCTGCTTCTGGTTTTCTGATTATTTGGGTAAATGCTGTTCAACTTGTCTCCTCCTCCGTTCGCTTCGAAACATGATGTACAACTAGGGCGAAATTGATCAATTCTTCCTGTCACAGTAAAATCTCATCAATTGGATTAAGCTATAGCTTTTGCAGCTGGTTAAAGTCTGTGGAGCCTCGCTAGCATTACTGCTTTCTACTGGTGTTTCTCTCTTGCTCGGCGAGAAAGTTAGCATTGGTGTGTGCATATAGGGCCTAGTCTCTTTCTTGTGCTGGGGGAAGTAACAACGCGAGGCTGTGCAGTTATGGTTCTTGATAAATATACGTGTTCTTTGTGCTCTCTACAGTAGAAGAAAAGTTTGTGTTTTTCTGAGTGTATAGAGAATGTCAGTAGAGTCTGACACCAAATCTTGCTTTAAAATGTCTGTATCATATATGTCTTCCTTTAACTTCATGTAGCATGTCTTTAGTTAGTTTTGTGGCAAACGTCAAACGGGGCATGTCTGATATTCTTATTGACATTTTTTTCTGCTAAGCTTGCTCTATTTGAATCGTGGAACATCCTTCTCTGGAGATACCTGTAGGAGAGGGTAAATGAAAGCTAAATGGCTGGTTGATTCGAACTATGTTGTCACTCCCACTAACATCTAGGTAAAAAAAAATGTTTGCAGAGTGGAGTAGTATCTGAGAGTCGGAGAAGCTGTTTAATCTGATACCAAAATGGCAGAGAGGCAAGCTATGGATCAACCTCAACAGCAGCAACAAGAGCTACAGTCACCCTCTCAGCAGCAGTCTCCTCCAAGGGAAGACAACATGATAGCTTGTGTCATGGCTTTAGAGGCTGCTTTGCTTCCTTGCTTGCCCGCCAGAGAGCTCCAAGCCATTGACCGCTCTCCCCATCCTTCTCATCAGAGTAAGTCTATCTGTTCTATTCTCCTTAAAACAGTTTGAGATGCTGCCTGTGGAATGTGGGATCGATTATGGCTTTCAAGCTGTTTCTCTTTGCAAGTTGTTAACAAGTGAGTTTAGTTTTTCAAAGAATCTATTTTAGCTGTCATTCTGCATGTTGCAGTTGATGTGGAGAGGTTCTCGAGGGAGTTTATGGAGGCTGCTAAGAAGCTTCAACTCTATTTCATCAACCTCCAACGAGAAGACCAGCCGACTGAAGTCGAAATGTTGAGAAAGGTATTTGATATGTCTGTTAGAAAATAAGTAGAAAAGCATGTTCCTTTTCACATGAACTTGAGCCTTGGTGCAAATTCTGGTCGTGAATTTAATAGGAAATAGCTGGTATGGAGGAAGAGTTGAAGACAAAGGACGAGCTTATCCATAAGCAGGAGAAACTAATCCAAGGATGGCGGGAAGAACTCAAAGATCAGTTGGAGAAGCATAAGATGGAACTGGAGAGAGTATAGACATAGTACTGAATGAACACTAACATTTGTGATGGCTACTGTCAGTCTGGCACGGCTGAAACTACTACTACTTTGCTTACTTAATCTCATGTGCTAATATAATTTAGTTTGATTTTGATTCTCAAATTGGTCCCTTTTTATTGTCAAGATTCCAAGGATTCTGATAAATGAGCTTTTCATCCAAATCCTGATCTTCATTTTTCTTTTGTTTTCAACTCCATACTAGACAGATTCTGTTCACACAATCAAAACATTTTATGCTTATTGAATGACGAGAAGAACTGGCAGAACAAAGATCGAAATTATGATTACACAATCATACTTTTACAGAAGTTTCTCTCATTCCAAAATCCAAATGTTGATTCTATCATCTAAACTACATCGAACGCGCAAACCCCCCCATCAATTGTCTCCACGCAACTGATACAAGAAACAATAAGTTACATGGATTCATCCCTCAATCCTGTAAGGGTTCTAACTTATAACCCTCTCTCTACTCTTCCACTGAGAAAGGCATGTGATAAATGAAGATCACCATTCTTTTTTACTTCTTGGCATAAGTAATCAGCATGGGGTTTTGCTGTATCTTGAAACTCTGCAGCGCTTGCATTGCCACTGTCGACTGGGCCTCGTCTCCATACTCGATGAATGCAATCCCAGGTTTGGCTTCGACCATTCTCACCTCCTTAAAACCAGGGTACTGCTGGAACAGCATCTGTAGCATCATTGGAGTTGTCTCATTTGGAAGGTTCTGAATGAACAGAATGTTGTTTGGCGGTGCTGGTGCTTCAGGGACCAGCGATCTCACACCAGGATATGGTATTTGTGATAACTGCAACCCAATACGAAATGTGTTAATTGCAAAGGGGAAAATGACAGCAATACAATTGAGAACATAACCTGATTCTAACTCTCACTACTCAGGAAATTATAGAGAGTGAACTTCAATAGAAGGAAAATAATATACATACAGGAGGTGCTGCCCCATAGCCACCAGGATAAGCTGGATTGAGACCCATTGCCATTTGATTTGGATCATGTTGTTCTTTCTTGTTCTTTTTACCTGTTCAATTAGGCGTCAAGATGCATATCAGACAAAGGGCATCAAGTAGGATAAATCTAATTGTGAAACTTAAATGGTCCCTTAAAAATTAAGTTCCACCAGTCCTGTCTAAATCATTCAATAGAACATATAGTCCTTCAGATCAGAGCGTGTCAAGTTTGGTTAACATAGGGTGAAAAGAAAGCTTCAAGGGAGCAAAGACATCCAACCGAATGAAGGGTCCTGAGGTGGACGATGAACACATTCTAACTAGGTGGAGACTGGAATAAGGAGGATAAAACGATACCTTTCTCTTCATGCCTCTTTCGCTTTTCTCGTGGAACAAAGGTTCCATCAGCCTTAGCTATAACATCAGACTTAGTTTTAGCGTACTGTATTCTCTGGACAACATACACAGCAATGTTAACCTTACAAAATATACAGAAACAGAGTACCAACACTACATTTGTTGGAGAATAACCATCCATATAATCAAATTCCACAAGTTCCTACTAAAGATAACGACTGTACTGAAGAAATAAACTAGGAAAATCAGAGGGAAGTAAACTCCAAAGCTAACAAATTGACAGGGCACAGATGTCACTCATCAAATTTCTACTCAGCCCTATCCTTCCATTGACAACAATTTGAAAGAAAGAAAATCCATCTTGAACCGAATGCAAGAAACACTGCAATCTTCAATCAAACCATCCATTATTCCCATCGGAGCTCGAATTAAGGGTAGGGAGAAGGAGGGGAAGACTTTCACATACCATGGGCTTATCATAGAAGGGGAAGGACTGCATTTGCCTCATAGCATTCGTAGCAGACTGAACTTCCTCGAAGACAACCCAAGCTTGCCCCTTGTGCTTCAGAGTCTTGAATGCCAATATCTCCACTATCTTCCCGAATTGCGAGAACACCGCGTGCAGTGATTTCTTCAGCTCTGATTTCACCACAAATTCGAAGAGTGCTATTAGGGCTCCAAAATCTGGGAAAATTTTACACATCCGCGAAAGGAAAAACGAAGAAAAGTTGCGAGCTTTACCGTCGAGCTTGATTTTCTCGTTGAGATTGTTGATGTAGATCGTCATGTTAGGAGTGGCTTCATTGTTGCCTGCAGGTGGATTGTTCGTCTCCGCCATTATTATGCTGTTTCTTTAGTGACTGACCTCCGGCGGGAAGAGAGGGATTTAGGCTGTGAAATTTCTCAGGCGTCTCACTGCTCACCTTGCCCTAACTTTAACTTGTGCCGGTGAGCTCAATACGGGCCTACTAGTTCGGTTTGGAAAAATATTCAAAATAGTCCTTTAACTTAGAGCTCGTTGACACTTTAGACCTCATTAAACTGATTTCATTTACATGCATCCGCTATTTTATTATTTTTCACGATGAATTAATCTCATTCGTTCAACAATTGAAGTACAAGCTCCCTTATTAGGAGTACTCTTCATCTAAGTAAGTAAGGAGTGGCAAAGTCTTTAGAACTTCTTACACGTGCATAAACGGCTAATGAAGTAAGAGTGGACTGCGACAAATTTCGTACTTAGATCAACTCATTTTAGAGAATTCTCAAACTAACAAACAAGACCTTTTCCCTCAATATTTTTATAGGTGGACAGATAGTATACTCGAACATCTTAAATATGTTGCTGCAAATCCCAGAGGATGGGAAAAGAACATAGACTATTGCAGAAGTCTCCACATACAAATGCCTTTTGTAGTAAGCCAACCGCCCATTACCTTAACCCACAAGTCATGACATGCTCTGGCACAGCTGCTTCGAAAAGCAGTATGAAATGGAGCTTTGGGAAAGATCAGCCTTCCTTCTCTTATTCCAATCAATTCCAACATCAAAATCCCACCCTGCGAAAAGCAAGAGCAAAAAGGAATAAACCCATTCAAAAGAAAATAACTTCCTCATCACCACAATATTCTCACATGGAGAGATGTATAAATAGGCAGGGCAGCCATGGAGTTCAATGTGGAGCATTCAGGGAGGAAACAAGCAGCAGCAGAGGTACTTAGAAGATGAAACCAGCAGGGCAGCAACTTCAACTTGGGTACCAGGATTTCGAGCCGACGGCGGATTGGTTGAGAGATGATGCTGAATTTCACACCTTCCTCCTTTACCTGCCAGGTGAGATGAGTGCATTCCCCATTTTACATGGATGTATTTGAAAAGTTTCTTTGTAAGTAAACGAAGTGGCCTGAGGGATGCAGGTTTCAGGAAGGAGCAACTGAAGGTTCAGGTGACATCAGCTGGAAACCTGAGGATAAGTGGAGAAGGTCCCATTGTCAGGGACAACAAAATCAGCCGGTTCTGCCATGAAGTCCACGTTTCATCGACATCGTATGACATTGGTGGGATCACGGCAAAGTTCGAAGGTGGCGTGCTTCGGATCAAACTCCCCAAGATCAAGCAGCGACAGGAATCTGAGCCTCTGAAGAAGCCAGATGAACAAGTGTTACAGAAAGATCAAACGGGCTCAGGACCGAATGCGAAACAACCTGAAGCTAACCAGCTAAATGATCCGAAAGTTTCAGCAACAGGTGATCCTGGAAATGGTAGTTTGGAGGATCACAAGACTGCTCCTCGGGATGCTGAAGCTGAGAAGCAGGAAACAACAACTCAAGGTTCTTCACCTGGTGTAGTGTTGCATTACAGGGAGTTCTTTGATGGGTTCGTGACGAAGTTGAAGATGATTAAGGGGAGCGAATCGGCAGGGATCGTCATGGCGGCTGGTTTGATGGGTCTGGTACTGGGATTTTGCCTGGAAAAGGCTGTCAGGTCGTTCCAGGGAGGAATAGGGGATGCAGCTTCATGAAGAATGCTTTGAAGATGTCCAATTTGGTTTTCAGGAATTGGTTTGAAATGGTGTATGCTTGTAAAGATACTGAGAAAACATCATTGCAATAATAAAATAAATACCCTGCAGTTTTCGGGGACGAAATGGATAAACTGGAATCCAGTTGACTTCAACATATTCAAACTAAACTACAATGTATTGGCATAACTTTGAGTTTGTTGTTGCACCAGCCATTTGTGCCCAGATCCTGATGAACTCAAAATGACTAGCTTAAGAACCCCCTCTTTCATCTTCAGATATGGTCTAATACAGAGCATTTATACTTGGCAGCGAAACCGCAGACTAACAGCTACTAGGTGATATAATTCAACGGGCATAGAAGTAGAATGATAGATACTCTTAACTTCAATGCTAGAGAGATGGAGATGGTGGTCAAAAGACATGAAAGGTAATTATCAAATAACTAACACTATGCTAGTTGATCAGGGAGCTCCAAGCTGATAGCAACCCATCGGTCGTCACCAAATGGCATGACTGTAACTCCTCGAGGGAATTCAATATCTGGGTATGAGGAATAGACCCTGACCTTGTTGAGGATCAACTCACTCCTTGCTTTCTTCGGTTGGCTGGCAATGGAAGAAGGGAAAGGGATTTGCACTGCTGAGTTCACAAGCTGGGAGTGGGAGTAATTGGAGAGCTCTTGCTTCTTTGTGACTACTCCTTCAGAACTCCTTGATGCTTCAGCTGATGTCAAGTTTATTACTTCTTTAACCTCTTCTTTCCAACCTTCAGTTTCAACAGAATCGGGTGCAAGAGATTTGTTGGAAGCGAGTTTCAAAGTGGTGTAGGCAATCTTAGCAGCATTCATCTCGGCTTCCTTCTTGGACTTCCCTGCTTCACCTTGGAATTTCTCTGCACCCACTTCCAAGGAGGAAAAGAAGGTGGGAAGATGTGGGGAACCAGTCTTCATAGTGTTGTAAACTGGCAGGGGGAGCCTTTCTCTCTGAGCTAGCTCCTTCAACAGATTCTTGTAAAACCCAGCTACAGATTCACCCTGAAATTTAACAAATAGAGGGAGAGACAAGCAAGTATTCAGTGAGAATCCTAACAGAGAATTTCAGGAAAAACAACAAAGAGTTAAGAGGGAAAAGTTGGAGGGGATAGGTTGACGAAACCAACATCCTGAAGGACCTCAAGAGTGCCATTTCCAGAATTGAAAGCATTCTGATCGTGATGCCTATCTCTTGGTACTTCAGAACCTGCAAATTGTATGATCACAAGACAGGTCTCAAAAGTTCTGTTTTGTTTTTCCAAACCTGAAATACAGAGATTTTAGTAATTTTTACTCGGAGGTGGTGAAGTGAAGTGGCGGAAGGCAGCTTGGGCAGCTTCATTCTGAGCTTGTTTGAAGGAGTTGCATGAAGGAGGAGAGTGGAAGGAGAGGCCATCGATGGAAACAGAGGCCTTGAAGCGAGGACTGTGATCTGGGCCATCTTTCATTGCAGAGTACCTTGGCAAAGCCCATCTCTTCTTCTGGCACAATTCCTGCAGCTGTGTTTTGAACATTCTTCCAATTCTGAGAAAAACCCACAATTTCTTTTTCCTGAAGAGAAAATGAGTTTGGTTCTCAAGAAGGTTACATTAAATTTCTGCATGCAATCCAAGCTGTGCTGCAATTCTGTTTTCGTTTCCTCCATGCAATCTGTGTTGTTTGAGATTTCCATTAGCATGCCCCAAAATGGGTTCAATTATCATGATTGTTCAGTCATGACTCATGAGAATTGTCACTCCTATGTCATCAGGTGGCAATTTCTTACAAGAACTGGACTTGGGTGAAAAGGCCTAAGGTACAAAAAAAAAATATCATTCCTAAATCTTGCCGTCTTGACAACTAAGAGAAGGACAACACTAAAGACAGGAGCCATTACAAACAGCAAGAACTTTCAGTATTTGACGTCAAACTCAATGATTGAAGGCAAGCCATTGTCATTTTGTTTTTGTGTTCATTCATTTGTCCCAAAAGAGCACACAAATTGTTCACAGTTCATAGTCCCACTATTCTTCCTAGTACAAAAAATCAACAAGGCCATGTCTTTGGACATCTCGCAGCGAACCAAATCAAAGGCTGTCCCTTATACGGGTAAAAGTGAAAGACCATAACAATCTGCTTCAGACAAAATAAATAGATGAATATAACAGACATTTCTGACAAAGACTAACCTCTAAGAAAGAGAGCCAAGCACGGGGCTGAGTCTCCAAGGTGTTAAAACTGCATTGAACTCACCCATGTATCTAGGTGTGCTTGAGATTGAGATTAATAAATCTCATCTCTTTGGGAGAATCAGGTAATCCAACCAAATCAAAACCTCTCCCTTCTGTCAATTCAGTTAAGTTTCAGAATGATGAAGAATCATCATATCATCCGCATCACTGTTGTTTTCCAATTTCTTCTCTGACTCACCAATACATCAGATCATGAAGTCTCCATCTCATTATGAACCATATCAAAACCTTCTACATTTGTCAATTCAGCTCAGCTTCACCAGATGAAGAGCAACTGCCTCATTCATATCGTTATTGTTCTCAACTTTCTTCTTCACCTCGCCAACCCATTATTCTTCAACCTCACAGATTTTGGCCCTGATGGAGACCTGTTAGCCTATCAAGGTGATGCTCAGTCCTTGTCTGTAGCTTTTCAACTCAACGAGCTAGATGAGCCTTGCAGTGTTGCCCGGGCCACTTATATTGACCCCCTCTATTTATGGGACAACTCCACCAAGACAATTACAGATTTCACAACCCGGTTCTCGATCACCACTGTCGGTCTCGAAGGCAACGACTACGCTGAAGGGATAGCCTTTTTCCTTGCTCCAGTGGGGTACCCGATCCCGCCAAACTCGTGTAAATACCTGGCATTGATGAACTCATCAAATTTCAATCCTTACACTCCCAGTCCTGTGGTTATGGTGGAGTTTGATACACATGTGAACACTTGGGATCCGGAAACTGAGCACATTGGGATCAATAACAACTCCATCAGATCAGCAGCTACAACCAAATGGGATAGAGACAACGAAACTGAAGGCGGAATTCAGATCTTGATTACTTACAATGCTACAATCAAGAACCTGACAGTGTTCTGGGCATATGAGAAAAAACCAGTTTTCAGGCCAGAATCTTCACTTACTCATCATATTGATCTGACGGAGGTTCTTCCTGAGTGGGTTACAGTGGGATTCTCAGGGTCAACGGGAGAAGGTACAGAGAAACACTTCGTCAATTTTTGGACATTCAACTCCACCTTAGAACCACGAGTAGTAACACCACCAGAACCAGCACCGGCACCCACACCAAAAGCGACGCTAGTTCCACCCCAGAATGATCATCACCGGTCCAAAAAGTCGCATTTCTTAGTGCCTACAGTGGTTTCTCTCTGTTCTCTTTTGTTTGGCGGTGGGTTGTTTTTGTTTCTACTGATGAAGTGGAAATCCAGGAAGAAAACCAACGGAAAGTCAGCCGTTTCTTTGAATACCGATTTGGAGAGAAGAGCTTTACCAAAGAAATTTTCTTATGCAGAGCTTTCTGCAGCTACAAATGGATTTGCAGATGAAAGAAGGCTAGGTGAGGGAGGTTCAGGACTCGTTTACAGAGGACACTTGAGCGATTTAGACCTCCAAATTGCAGTGAAGAGAATCCATGCACAATCAGGAAACTCCGGGGATCTGTTCATCAATGAAGTGAAGATGATAAGCCGGGTAATACACAGAAACTTGGTTCCATTCATTGGATGGTGCAATGAGCAGGGTGAGTTCTTACTTGTCTATGAATATATGACTAATGGCAGCCTTGATTCTCATCTCTTCGGTAATGGCAGAACCCTGCAATGGAACTTGAGATACAGCATAGCCCTTGGCTTGGCCTCAGCCCTCCACTATCTACATGAAGAGGTTGAGAAATGTGTCCTTCATAGAGATATTAAGCCAGAGAACATACTACTTGACATGGATTTCACAGCAAAGCTAGGTGACTTTGGGATCGCCAAACACATAGACACTCAGTTTCCAATAGAGAGGACGAATCCTGTGGGGACTCATGGCTATGTGGCCCCTGAATACCTGGCAGATGGCAAGGCAAGCAAAACTGCTGATGTGTTCAGCTTTGGGGTTGTGGGCCTGGAACTTGCTTGTGGGCAGAGGAATTACAGAGAAGGTGATCCTTTGCTCTTGGTGAAAGAGGTATGGGCACATCACAAAACTGGGAATATTCTGGATGCTGCTGATGAGAAATTGAGGATGGACTTTGATATTAAGGAAATGAGGTGCTTGTTGAATGTGAGTTTATTGTGTACTCACCCTACTGACAGCGAAAGGCCCTCAGCTGCTCAAGTAATCCAGTATCTCAAGTTTGAAGTCCCAGTGCCAGAGCTGCCTCAGATGATGCATGATCCTGTATTCCCTTACAACTTGGATGCCACCGAAAGAAGAACAAAATAGACTTATGATACAATAATTTGCCATCCAAAATGAAGACAAAAGAACAGATGAACCGATATAATTCATTAAAAGATACATTCTTACAGTTCTGCATCTCATGGAGTCATTTATGTATTCAGGGTCTGGAAAATCTCTTTCCCTGAACAAGATCTGCTTATGAGAAAGACAACGGCATCAGAGAAATCAAGCCAACAATTAATTCAAGGAACAACACACCCTGATAAAACAGGGGATAGAATGAAAATCACATTTTTCATTTTTCAGGGACAAAATCCTTGAATGACATTACATAACCGCACAACCCTAGAAGTGAGAAGAGAAAGAGAAAAGAGGAGAAGAAATGCATTTCTCGTCAAGAGAGAGAAAAACAAGCTCATTATTCCAGCTTTAATACATAAATTTTCTTTAGCTTCACAAACATATTGGAGAGCTTCAGCAACACTCTTCCACCACTTGAGACCAAACTTTCTCACTTGGCCTTTGAAAGCTCAGCTCTCAGGAGCTTAGCAGCAGCAACCATATTGCTGAGGGCAGGTTTGACTTCATCGTACTTGCGGGTCTTGAGACCACAATCAGGGTTGACCCAGAGGACGTGGCTCTCGAGGACAGCAAGCATCTTCCTAACACGGTCTGCAATTTCTTCAGTGGACGGGATCCTAGGCGAGTGAATATCATATACACCAGGGCCAATGCCTGCACCATACTTGACTCCTTCACGGAAGACCGAGAGAAGCTTCTCATCAGATCTGGAGTTCTCGATTGTAATTACATCCGCATCCATGTTGATGATTGAAAGAATGATGTCATTAAAGTTTGAGTAGCACATGTGGGTATGGATCTGTGAACCAACAAGAAAATTTTACTCTTTTAGTTAGTTTCCAGCATCCACACTGCAAAAGCTAAGATCAAATCCACAAAACTTGGTATGAGTTTCCGGAACAAGGGGACAGGGAAGTTATGCTGACCTGGGTAGTATCTTGGACGCCACAGTTGGTAATCCTGAATGAGTGGACAGCCCAATCCAAATAGAAAGCATGCTCCAACTTCCTTAGAGGCAACCCCTCCCTCAAAGCAGCCTCATCAATCTGGATGACATTTATTCCAGCCTTCTCAAGATCCTCAACCTCATCCTTGATGGCAAGTGCAATTTGGTAGCATGTCTCATGCCTAACAAAAGGAGAGGGTAATACATTAAGGTTCTCCACAGAAAGATCTGGAACCCCAAGGATTTCGAAAGTTAGTTGCTTCAGCAACTGTCATACCTGGGCTGGTCATTTCTAACAAAGGACCAGTTCAAAATGGTGACCGGTCCAGTAAGCATTCCTTTCATGGGTCGTTTGGTCATACTTTGGGCAGTACTTGACCAGAAGACTGTCATGGCCTTAGGGCGGCTCACATCACCATAAATTATTGGAGGCTTAACACAACGAGAACCATAAGACTGAACCCAGCCATTAGCTGTAAAGGCAAAGCCAGACAATTGCTCACCAAAGTACTCAACCATGTCATTCCTCTGCATTGAAGGAGATAATTAGAAATGAACATTGAATTGAATATATAAAGTTGCGACCATGCAGAAAAGTGAAAATTAGTAATTAAGTTTCAGTGGTAATGCTTACTTCTGGTTCACCGTGCACCAGAACATCTATGTCGAGTTCTTCTTGGATCTTAACAACTTTGTTAATTTCCTCTTTGATGGCCTTAACATAATCATCCTCAGAAATCCTACAGTTGACAGAAGGAACAGAAAAAGCAAAAGACACTATCAACTAGAGAGAAAACACACAAACTTCTCAGCAAAAGGATAAGGAGCAAGTATGTTCTTTAAAGGAGAGCAAAAGTCTAAGCAACAATGTTCTTACTTCTTAGCTTTGTATTCACGGCGGACCCTCCTAAGATCCATGGTCTGTGGGAAAGAACCAATGGTAGTTGTGGGAAGACTCGGAAGGTTTAATTTCTTTTGCTGAGCAGCCAGTCTAGCACTCACAGCAGTGGGTCGGCGGCGGTCAGAGCCCTTTAATGCAGCAGCCTGTGCAGCAATTATTCAAATTAAAACAAGTGGACGCATTAGCAAGCAAATATACTTCATGACACTGAATTTGAATTGTAAGTCAAGAAACCACTCACAGCAATCTGCACAAACTGATTTGTCACCCTTGGAGAGGATTTTCTCGAAGCAAGAGCAGAAGCATTAGCCGAGAAGAATGGCTGGACAGAGAACAAGAAGAGATCAAGTTGAAGAAAAAAGAAACAATTGCAGGCACACATATGAAAATCACCTATCAAATCGGTTCTCATTTCCATGAAACAGACTCAAGTGTTCAGCTAAAATAACGAACAGTATGAACTCTATGCCAAGTAAAAACAATGAAAATTGCCACGAAATATACCAAAGCACATGAAACACTACCTGATCTTTGTGACCACTAAGTTCCTTGGCCAAGGCATTTACTTCAAGTACTTTTTGAGCTGCAAATGCTAACCATGACTTGATCTCTATATCTAACTTGGTCTCATTGACTAGATCAACGGCAGTGTGTAGAAGAGAACAGGATGTGGAAACAACAAGCTTGTCTGCATAAGGAATATTATGACAAAGCAAATCATTAATCATCAATTGAAAAGGGTCATTATGTTACGCTTCAACTGAAATAAAGACTGCGTACCTTTACCAACAATGCCCTCAAGAGAATGAAGAACGTCAAGAGAAGCAGCAAGATCATTAGCCCAGATGTTCCTTCCATCCACAACACCAGCAAATAGGTATTTTCCAGAAGGGAATCCACCTTTAATCAGATCAATGGTCTTGGCTCCACGCACAAGGTCAAACCCAAACCCAGTAATACCCTTCAAAGATGTGAGAACACTATAGGCCTCTGCTGGAACATCAGCAAAATATGTCTCGATCAGAACGTTCAAACCAAAAAGGGATGTTTCGAGTTCTGAGTAAGCAAGAGTAAATGCTTTCAGTTCGTGTGCTTCAAGATCCATCACAAGCTTGGGCTCATCAAACTGAATCCAGGTAGCACCAGCTGACTTTAGGTCGGATACAACTTGCCTGAAGAGAGCATTTACAATGAGTTTTGTTTAAGACATACAATATGATAAACAAAGCAATGTAGATCAATAAACGACAAGTTTCAGTAAGCATCCACATAAAACAGCATGAGAAAGTCCAATGGCTTACTTGTAAACTGGAATGACTTTGTCTAGCAGGGAAAGAAGAGAAAAGCTCTTATCAACACCCTTTGCAGGTTTCGAAAGCAGCAAGTAAGAAACAGGTCCTAAAAGAATTGGCACTGTGTCGACTCCAAGCTGCAACATAGACAAATTGAAAGACAAAGCTGTCAACTTACAAGTTCTTAACCCAAGATGCCAGTAAAAGCTTCATTGACCCACTAACTAGTTACGAGATAGAGATGGATAGTTCAACCTTGATTTCAGCCAATAATCAGCCTAATTTACTCAAATTCACTTCTTATATTTTCCCAGGTAACTAAGAGATGGTTACGGAAGAAAATAAAAATTCCCTACTCAAATATTTGTACACAGATAGCAACATTCAGTTTTCCAATCTACTATTATCAATAAGGTAGTAAATGGATCTCATCACACCATGATATCCGAGACTTAGAAACCAGAAAGACGGATCCTGTGACCATGTAGAGCAATGATGCATTCTGAATACTATCACCCAGTCAACTTACAGCTTTAGCCTCTTTGTACTCGTCAATGGCTTTGTGCGATGCATATGAAAATTTAACATCTGGTCCCAACTCAGGCACAATGTAGTGGCTGCAGCAAAATGATTCTTGTAAATTACAAAAATGGAAGAAAATGAACAAATAGTGACATCTGACACCCCAGTGAGGAAATAAACACGTACTAGTTGGTGTCAAACCACTTGGTCATTTCCATAGCAGGAACAGAGGCGTTACCCCTGGCCATGGAGAAGTATACATCAAATCCAATCTCACCACCTTTCCAGCCGTATCTAGGAGGAACTGCCCCAACCATTGCTGTGGTGTCCAACACATGATCATAGTATGAAAATGTATTGCTGGGAATATACTTGATGCCTGCTTCAGCCATCTGCTTCCAGATTGATGACCTGAGATCCTTTGAAACCTTCTGCAGGTCTTCAGCACTGCTCTTGCCATCCCAGAAAGATTCCAAAGCAAACTTGAGCTCTCTCTTGGGCCCCATGCGAGGATAACCAACAATGTGGGACGCCATTGTTCTGTGACACCACATGCCATGGAAAAAAAATCAAGTTTCACAAGAAATCTTCAAACAAACATGTGATATGGATACACAATAGCACAAAATTGTTAGAACAGAATACGAAAGAATCATATCCAACCAATCAAAGCACCTGCATAACGTTGGACATTGTGCCACCCCTTTAACGGGCAGAGACAATATAGGGCATTTAGTAAAAGCCATCGACAAGAAATCTTACTAACATTAACGACAATGGGAAGCCATGACGAAAAGGATGAGAAAACTAATAAAGTGAATAACATTAATTCTCACAAGTCACAAGCATGAACAAAGATGTTGATACCAATTTCTAAGAGGAAGAAGAATATATACTATGAAATGCAAATGGCCAATGATCCAAACTGAGGTTATTCCAAAATAGAGTTGATATTAGGGAGTTGGTAGATATGCATACATGACGGAGAGGAATTTGACACGCCACAATACGAGAGAATCATAATCAGCCAATGAAAGCACCAGCATTATATTTTTAATCATACAAGCATGCCAAAAAGGAAGATCACTCCAAGATAAGATATTTACCAACTATATGAGAGCGATTTTCAAAAGGATCAAACTTCTAAGAAATGGATTACTATTTCCTCTTATAAGCAAGAAGAAAAAAAAATTATGCATGTCAACACATTTCAAAAGAAACCTCAAATGTGTTAGAGAGTGGTATAAGATCCAGCATAACCTTCTCCCAACAACTCGAGTTATTGGGAGCAACTGGTTCTTGACATGGTATCAGAGCCTAGAACCGAAAGATCATGTGTTCGAATCTCCACGACCCCCCAATATTAACCGTTGTCTTTCAAGCACATGGTATGGTGGGCCTGTGCAAACTTCAAGCCCATGGGTTGGCTTTCGTTTGAGGGGGCGTGTTAGAGAGTGGTATAAGATCCAGCATAACCTTCTCCCAACAACTCGAGTTATTGGGAGCAACTGGTTCTTGACAAAATGAACACAAGACGAAGAATGCTGATCAACAAGGATCCACCCCGAATTATATCTTACATTGTTGTTTGATATTAAGCAGTCGCTACATATGGTCATATGCAACCACATGATCAAATATATCAGATAACGTGAAATAAAATCGGATACACACAGCTCAAACTGACACCAGTAATCTCACAAGTCCCGGAGCATCCTCATCAGCAAGATCCGAGAAAACATGGAACCCAGAAACACCATATAAATACCCAACGCCAACATCAGATCACAATTCACAAGCAAAATCATTTACGGCGGCTGAAGAAAATCCAGTGAAACTCCATTTACGTTCATTGAGGAAAATTAACAAACACTACGTATGCATGGAACCCAGTTCAAAACAGAGGCCGGCCAGACGGCCAGACGCGATCAAATCCCACCTGATCAAAACTGGGATAGAACAAAGATCGCACGCAACGTAAAGGGTATGCAGAGAGCATGCAAGCGAAGCAGAGGTGAAAGAAATCCGTTACCTGAGGGAAGTGAAGCGAAGGCGAGTGAACGGTGGTGGGGAAGAAGGAGAGACGGGGAAACGAACGGAAATCGGAGATGGGGTGGCGGGGGAACGGAGGGAGAAGGCGAAACTCAGAGAGCCAATGGATTTGCGTCCCAGAGATGTGAATGGCGAGAATATGGGGTTGGAGACTTGGCTCATTTATACTGCTGTTCTTGCGCTCCCTCCCTCACTCTCGCTCTGCTTTCTCTCTCCTGTCTTCGTTTTTTTTATATCCTTTTAGCGGAAAAAAAGAAATAATTGGGGGAAAGTGGAAAAAGAGCAAAAGGGAAACGGAGGGAAAAAAAAGTAATGACTGGCCATTAAACTTTATTGGTATTAACAAATCAGTCCCTAAACTTCTCAACTAACGTTTGGAATACGATAGTGATTCATTCATCTCTATAGAGTTTTGTTAATGATTCATGTCTTGTATCAAGCAAATAAAGTATAACAACAGACACATGAACCGCGAGTAGCTTATGTGGAAAACTCATTTGACCTATGTTCGGTCCCCAATGAACCGCGATTTGATTCTCAATCCATATTTCCTAGCGGGGGAGATTGGGTTGGGTGGATTAATATGTCATGGCAGATCAAGTTTGAATTTATTGTTTTGGATGAGGGATGGATCATTTGTGGATGACTTAGGATTGGTATTTGATAGGCCCAATTCGGATGCTGACTATGCCTTTCGTGCGATGCGGCATGCCTTATTGACATGACGACTAAGCATAAAGTACGAAAAATGAACATATAATTGAAACAACTAACCATTTTGTTATGAAATGAAAAAAGTAAGTGTTCTTTTCGTTATGTTTTAAAGTTGAGTGATTATTTTGGTATATTGACCATCATCTAGTTGCCATTTAGGATATAACCCAAAATATTGGAAGATATAAAGAAGTATGGAGGGAAATAGAGAAGAAATTATTTGAGGGATTAAGTGTAAGGGCTCCTAACAAGACAATGTATTCACCAACCCCAAATTTGAGGAGGCTTTGTTGAACATCTATCACCAATATTTTTTTACGAAACATATTTAGTGGCCTTAGCAAACGTGGAGATTAAAAGAAAAAAAAAATGGCCATGGCTAAGTTCTTGTAGTCTTGTGTCAATTTGGTATGGTATTTAATCATAATGGTCACATCAAAGGGTGTTGGTGGGCAAAATGAAAAGAAAAAAAATGGTGGTTGGCCACTTCTTTGGAATGTATGTTACTCCAATTAGATTATTTACTTTACAGCTATATTGCAATTTGCTTAAATAAAACGAGTATTTACATAAGTTCTCCGATAATTTCAATCTTATGTAGCAGACGACAGTAAACTAGTTTAGAGAGTTAGAGGAGTTTATAAAATTAATTCGACAGAATAACTATGAATGTGGCTCTAACCAGTTCAAGTGTTCAACAAATCAATATTTACATTCAGACCTAGCTACATAACCTTACAAACACTCATTGGATATTTTTACTTGGTTAAAATGTTGATCTTACGAGTATCTTTCACGAGATAAGTATGTAATATTGTTATCTATCCAAGCCACAAAGCTTTAATTGTTACATGTTATTGATATTACATACTCTAGTTTAGCTCTAGATGTTTGGGATTTGGTGTGCATAGAATGAGTAGGTGAAGTAGGGCCAAAAAAAAGTTCACCAAAATGTCATGTGAAAGCCTCTAACAAAAGTCAAGTAGTTGGTGAGTGCTAATGTCTCTATCCATTCATGCTTAGAAAGCAAAATCATCATTCAAATACAAATAAATCAACATTGTGAATAATTATTAGGTCCAAGTAAGTGGATTTCAGAATGCATCGACTTTCAAAATGCACAGCTTTAAAATCCCAGTAAATAGATTACTCTCCCTCCTGGCCAAGGTGACCATTCTATTTCTATATTACATTCATAGCACAAAACACAAACCACACACATCAACTTGGGGATGGGAGGGACTTCCTCAATGCGAGCAAGAGCAACTAGCAGGAGGCTCCGAAGCAGAACCAGCAGCAGCAGCTGCATTGGCTGCACTGAAGCTGCGTTCCCACGTGTCAGATGGTTGTTGGGCGTGGGGGAGGTGACATGGATGTTTCTCCCGCTTGTCGCCTCGAATCTGTTTGAAAGCGTGCTTCAGCACTGGCAGCAGTGCTTCAATACATTCTGCAACTGCATTTGGGTTCCCTGGCATGTTGATTATCTGCATTACCCAACAACAACATCCAACGTAACAGAATGAGTAACGGAAAGGCAAGATTTGATAGGAGGGTCGATACATTATCACTGCTCCATCAAGGTGAAACAATCTGTTGGCACAATTCCCAATGTAACAATGAACTCAAGCAATACACAATTTTTAGTCAGGATCACTCAGGATTGGCCATGAAATAGGTAGTAGTTTAAGTTGTCAAGAAGCGTTACAGCGCAGTTCGTCAGAAGGATTTACATAAAGAATTGAGCTCGAGTGACTTACCAGTGTTGTGCCCCTTATACCTGCTGCAGCGCGTGATAACATGGCAAATGGTGTGACCTGCACGAAAAATTGGAAGCGGGTCAAAACTTCTGTGTTAAAACAAGGAAAAGTACAGTCTGAAACAGAGCGAGAAAGAGAAGTATCAAAGTCTTTACAGTTTCAGAGAACAAAAAGAACGGAAAATGTAGTTTCTTGTGCTATAAGCAATGAGCTTGGTGATTAAGTTGTCAGTTATCACTTTGCTAAATCGATTAATTCTATTGCCCTATAGAAAGATACAGACAGCACAATTTCCTACCTTTAAACTCTCTTGCGTCATTACATGCAGAAGGCCAGGCGTTTCCTTCTCAATCACTTCTTTAGTTGCCTCAGGAGTCACATCTCTTGGGGTGAAGCCAGTACCACCTTCATTTACATTTTATGCACATACATTTGGCAAAAGATAAGATCAAATGAAGCGAACAAAGAAACGCCTATGCCAGGAAATCTGAAATAAGGAATAGAACTGTAAACATGCAACACTCATACCCAGTGTAAGAATGAGGTCCACTTGATCAATGTCACTCCACTTCAGCAGAACATCTTTAATTTTCCCCACTTCATCTGGGACCACAGCGGTTGATACCACTGTAGCTCCTCCTAGCTTCTCTGAAGAGGAATTTACAACCGAAATTGCTCTAGGACCACTGCAGATCTCAACACAATTTTCACAAAATGAGAAACTAGGATCACACATAAAAGTTGATCGACTATCGACAACTCAACTCTGTACAATATGACCGCAAGTCTTCCCACAGCATAGGGCAAGGCATGTGCACGGCTGCACGCCAAAGAATCATAATCAATGAGAATTAGGCTACTGCTTACATATCTTATACAAGCTTCAAATACCAATTACCTACTGAGAATCATTTCAATTTTAAGTCCAGAATAATTTGCTATGGCCAGCTAAATAGTATGATAAACTTTTTTGTCAGCAGAAAGAAAATTATACAGTGAATTTAGAACACTGTAGCAAAGTACTAAGTACAACCCATGTTTAACTTCTTCATGGGGAAATACCAGCTTTGCTCATTTGATTTAGCATCAATTAAGTGATCTCTTTGAAACAACGATTCATAGAGATGTATCCAGATGCAATAAGGAAAAGTCTACACACATGCAAACTGACCTATATGACCATCAAGCGAGGACATTTCTCCTCTTCTTCATGCCTTGGGTTAATAAAGGAATTCCAATGTTTTTCATTACTTATCCACAAGACCATAAGAAACAAAAACAAGCCGAGGCTAATGGGTGCTCTAGCTGAAAGCCTATGCTATGGAGAAGAAATCCTTGTGTCCAAACCTTGGATACTTGTCAGCAGAAAGAAAATAGTCCTGTAAATTTAAAAACATTGTGGCAAAAGAGTAAGTACAACCCATGTTTTACTTCTTCATGGGGAAAACCAACTTTGCTCATTTTGGTTTAGCATCAACTAAGTGACCTCTTTGAAACAACGATTCATAGAGATGTATCCAGATGCAATAAGGAAAAGTCTACATACATGCAAACTGGCCTAGATGACCATCAAGCGAGAACATTTCTCCTTCTCTTCGTGCCTATGGTTATATAAAGGAATTTTCATCACTTATCCACAAGACCATAAGCAACAGCAACAAGCCGAGTCTACTGAGTGCTCTAGCTGAAAGCCTATGCTATGGAGAAAAAATCCTTGTGTCCAAAACCTTGGATATCAGTCTCAAGTAAACTCATCATAATGCTCAGTGCACTAGCCGCATAAGGAGACTACTGATCTTCTCTAATGGGCCTCGACAAAGGGAAATGATAAAATTTAAAGGAGTTCTGCATCAAGTTCCTAGTGGAATATGTGAATCAGGATCTCTAATGACTTCAAGAGATATAATAAAAGAAGTAGTAACCCTCGCACCTTCTGTCAGGCCCAGCACCTGATGCGACAGTATCACTCACTGTTAGAATAGCCACCCTGACCTCAGAAGCTGTGAATGTTTCTCTATGTTTACTTTGAAGGGAAGGAGCTAAATCTACTGAGATGCAACCGTCAGGAATAGCATTACAGCTTAAATCACTGATTACAATGGCCGAGACAGAAGTTCCAGCAGGAAATAATGTTCCTGTTGCTGGCAACTCCAACAGCGCATTAGCTGATTTCATGCTCAAGAGACGGCTGCTCATCTGGGAACCAGTGCTTTCAGCAACAAATCTGGCATACCAACGAAAAATTGTAGTTCATGGATTTTTATATCAAGTGATCGACTTATAAAGATTTCAATAACTACAACTTCTACTATAATATCACCAGATAACTGACCCTGGATTCCCTGATCCATCATTGGTCTTCCACTTGATGGTGGCACGATGAAATTCTGGCCGTACTGGATCGGTCTTCATAGGTTGATTAAGACGAGCATGCACTCTGTTTAAAGAGCATGAAGGGCTAAGAATCTATCCATGAATTTCAATGCTATTAATAATTGCTTGAAATCTGAGTATGTACAAGCGAGAGAACAAAGTTTTAAAAGTCCCAGCAACCTCAAAAGGTGAGGATTTTCCCATCCAGAAAGACGGCGAATCGCTGGGACCACAAAGAGATGGAAGCAAACTAGGCAGCTCACAGGATTTCCGGGTAATCCAAATGCAAGAAGTTTTTTGGGCGCAGTAGTGACAGTTGGAGAGACTTCAGCAAAAGTCAAAGGCTTCCCGGGTCTCATGCAAACCTAAGGATCACACATAGCATAGTCCGAGCATAAAGAAAAATTCGCTTAAGCTAAAAATGTGGGACTTCCCACTGATTTTAAAAGTGGAGAAGGAAGAAACTGAACCTGAGCAATGTACGTAACGAAAATGGAGACTGAGTCGCTATGCTTACCTTGTCAAAATGAACAACCCCTCTTTTCACAAGCAATGGCTTTACAAAATCCTTATCCCCCATGGAAACACCTCCTGAAGTTAAGATAATATCCGCCCCGGAGGCAATTGCTTTATCCAGGACACTTTCAAGTTCTTCTTTGTCATCCCCAGCAATTCCAAGGTCAACAACCTTGCATTGCTGCTGAACTGCAGCTACCAGCAGGGTAGAACGGTTGGAGTCCCTAATCTAGAGAAAACCAATTTCAGTCCATCTTACCTCAACAGCTAGAATAAAAATGTGAAAAATATTGCATAGTTTTGATCAGTAACATCAAACTTATAAACTGATAAAGCTATTAGGCCAGATGAAACCATTGTCAGATTTCACACAGGTGCTAACTTGGGACTGGAAATGGAATAACTTCGGTTCAAGGACAAACAATGCTGACTGAACAACGTTTGATAAGTAATCTGGCTAATCATAAGAACAACAGCAGCTTGACAAAACAAATACCCAGTGACCACAAGGTGACATCTTAGTGCATCCTAGTTTACCATTCACTGCACTTCCCACGTCCCTCAAAATGTAAAAACAAATGGAGTTTTCCCAGACTGACTCCTTTGCGCATTACTCAATTAGTAGTTTACTTAAATCAAAGACATCGACACTTTGCTTTTATGTTCTACTAGAATAATCACGTATACAACTATCCATTTGAAGCAGCATGGGAAACACAGTACCTGGCCTCTGCTCAAACACCCAGTTGTTGGCTCCACAAGTTCATCTCCAGTAGAAACCACAGCAATTGTAGGAGCAGGAAATATCTGAAAGTAACAATCCCCCTTTAGACATAGCCAATAATTAGCAGAACAGAATATTAGAAGCAAAACACTACCTTGACCATTGTCACACCAACAGTAGCAAGTAAGCCAATTTCTGAAGCACCGAGTGTTTCTCCAGATTTTAATACCGTGGCATCTTTCTCTATATCACAACCCTGATAACCAGAAAATTAAATAAGGCTGAATTCAGAATCAGGCAAAAAAAAGATGTTAAATAACCACTAGCCACCAACAAACTTATTTTGCATTCAAGAATAAGGTCGAACCAACTCAACAGTGAATAAACTTCCCAGTAAAGAAGACCGGAAGATAAGTTCCTACACCAGATTTAAATCATCCACGGAGACCCTCCCTTTAAATCTATTTCAACTCAATTTTTCCTCAGTCCCATGCATTCTTGGAAAGCTCCTTCTGTTATCTAATTTATTCTAACAGAGAAGTAGAATGAGATTCAAAAACTATATGCTAGCTTTACAGTTCTCAGAGAAAATAGTGTTTGCTTCGTGACACCAGTAGGTATCAAAGGTTGTCTAGAACTATTAAAATCACAAAGCAAACAGCATACCACCGGACGAATGTCAATGCCCTTTTTAGTCTGCACCAAGATCTTTACACGCTTTGATCCACCTAAATCATCCTCAACTTTTTCAGTGTCCTCAACCTGAACCACTGCATCAGCACCATCGGGGATCGGTCCTGGACAGGAAAGATAGACAACACATGATTTCACCCTCACATAATGCTGCTTAGAATCAGCTTAGCATCTCAACTTCTTTGTATGTGGCAACAGATGGAATAGCTCCTAATTGCATTTAGCTAAAACCTTCATTTGTTCTAGCTCCCAACACACTCAAAGGAGTGCAGCCATTGCGACAAGAAGCCAAGGAACACATTCAGCAAGCCTACAAACGAAGAACATTTCTCTAAACCAACCTCCAGTTGTAACATAAGCAACCGTCCCAGGAGTAAGCGTGACACCAACCGCATCATTTCCAGCTCTCGACTCGGCAATCACCGGATATTCCCCAGGACCATCTGAAGCAATCACGGCATAGCCATCCTGCAATGACCAAAACCCTCGCCGTTCACACCAACAGTGACGAACAAAGCTATTCCTTCAACTGAACCAAAAACACAGCGAAGTTCCATTGGCAGGCAGCGGCATTACCTTTATGGAAGCAGGATAAGGCGGCAAAGGGTCGCGCGCTCGAATGTCCTCCGCTAGAACTTTACCTAGAGCCTCGTGAATAGGCACCGTCGTAGGAGTAAGACGCTCAGCTGCTCCCAGAACAATCCGGAGAGCCTCCTCCGTCGATATCATCGCCGGCGTCGCCAGTGCCGCAGGCCGCTGACGTTGTGTTCTCCGGTTCAGAAAGAAGCCGGGAGAAGCTAGTAGTAGTAAGCTTTGACGGAGAACAAGTCTGCCTGCTGCCAAGGAATAGAAAATGAACTTCTGGTGCGTCAATTCAATCCCATCGGATAGGAACCGGCGGCGGAATCGAAAGTACTAATGAGTCCCTCATTTTTATAGCTTTCCTCCTTTAGTCCCCAATAGACCGAGTCGGTCACGGACTCAGTTAAAACGGAATAACCCGCGAACTCGGTTGGAGGTTAAAAGAGAAGAAAGGCAGCACAAGATATCGTTAGTTACCTTCCAATTTTAAACCAAGAGAGGGGAAAATCAGAGAGAGGAGGAAAAACCCTAGCAAATCCCACATTTCAAAATCACCAGCACCGACGAATTCCCTCTCTCCCATCAGAGATTCCTCTCCAGAAATCCACCCAACCGATTTCAAACGGCAGCCGTTCAATTCGTCGCTCCAATTCGATGGCGAAGCCCGACACGAGCCCCGTGCTGTCGCCGACGTCGTCGCGGTCGGTGACGCAGACGGTGAACGGGTCGCACCGGTTCGTGATCCAAGGCTACTCGCTCGCGAAAGGGATGGGCGTCGGGAAGCACATTGCCAGCGACAATTTCACGGTCGGAGGGTACCAGTGGGCCATCTATTTCTACCCCGACGGCAAGAATCCGGAGGACAATTCCGCTTACGTCTCGGTGTTCATCGCCTTGGCCAGTGAAGGGACCGACGTGAGGGCTCTGTTCGAGTTGACGCTGGTTGACCAGAGCGGGAAAGGGAAGCACAAGGTTCACAGCCATTTCGATCGGTCCCTCGAGAGCGGCCCGTACACGCTCAAGTATCGCGGCAGCATGTGGTAAGTTTCCCTTTTTTTTTTTTTTTTTACTTGACATTCTTTAAGGGACTTCGAAAAATGGGAGCTTGATATTTGTTTTCCGGGGCAGTTTTTGTTTGTTTGGGATGGTCGTTGAGCGTCCTGTGGTCTTCTATGTAGCTCTAGGTTAGCATGTTTGTGAGCCGACTGAACAATGGTTGTTTTGGCAGATTTAACTGTTTCTTGTTAAGGCTCTCGCTTATTCTAGATGATGAGATCTATGGCTTCTTGGAAACCAGATTGGCTGAGGTGATTTGAGATTTGAAGGATAACTCTTTTGGCATGTTGCTTTTAGTTTTTAGGAAATTGCCTTTTATGCCTGCTTAACTGGGCAGGACTCATTTCTCTTAATATCAGTCTGCCACACCATGTTTTTCAACCTTCTCGACCGAACTTCTTGTTGTATAAGAATGGGATCAGGTTTCTTTCTCTTTGATTACTAGCAGAGTTTGGATGGGACTGTAGCTTTTATTGTTCCCAGTTTGGTGTTGTAGAGGTCAGCTGGGCAGTACAATTTGTTGTTCTCCTGGGAATCCATGTAACAAGGAAAGTAATGTTCTAGCAGAGTGGTGCACATGATAAATAGGATTTCCCTGAACATTTAGAATAGAACTGGGATAAGATACGAATTTGATAATTGGTTCACTCCTCATTAATATTAGTAAGAGTGCTACCATGTCTCAAAGTAAAATAAATTCTTCAAATGCAGAGCTTCGATACTGTGTTTGACAAGATTTCCCCACCAAGGCGACAGTTCATGTTGTGGGGGCTCAATTTATGTCCATGCATTTTGGATCTCATTATTCTCACAGGAATTGAACTAGTAGCTCTATATAACCCCTGCCTTCTAGAAGTTGATAGTGCTTCCAAGGTCGGAAGATATATTATAAAGAAATAGAGATCACTTTTATACATGGTAGACTTATAGAAAGTGTGGAATCAGTTCATATAGCTATTTCAGATAGTTCCGAGTAATGTTTCTATGATGGTCACTCCATCTGGCCATACATTATAAGGTTACACTTGGCGGCCGCTCTGCTTATGGTTAATGTGGAATCAAGCTAGGTCTTTCACTTCTATTTAGTGAATAAATTATGCTCTCATGAGTCATGCCAATCACTGGTACCCATCAAGGGAAAACTGATCAGTACCCAACTTATAATTTACTGTTATAAACAGCAATGTGATCCATTTCATTCCGTGGTTGAAATTTCTGACATGTCTCATCCAAATCTGTTTTACAGTTTTTTCTTGAAAATTTTACTAGTTCTTGTCCTGTGTGCCTTTCTTACTGGTCCATTTCATTCTATGCTGACCCTCTTTGGCTTTTTGTTGTTGTTTTTTTTTACAATGGGCTTTTTGTTACTGGCAAGAGTGTCAGGTGCCATTTCTTGGTGCTACAGACATGCTCATTTTTCGATTCTGTAGCTTGATGGTAATTCCTTTCTTTTGTTCTGTAGGGGATACAAGAGATTTTTCAGACGCGCTATGCTTGAGACATCCGATTATTTGAAGAATGATTGCTTAAAAATCAACTGTACTGTGGGAGTGGTGGTGTCTGCTGTAGATTGTTCCCGGTTACACTCTATCCAGGTTCCAGAGTCTGATATAGGAGCACATTTTGGCACGCTTCTCGAGACTATGGAAGGTTCAGATGTTACTTTTAATGTGGCAGGGGAAAAGTTCGAAGCTCACAAATTAGTATTGGCCGCTAGATCTCCTATCTTCCGCTCCAAATTCTTTGACTGTGCGGAAGATAGTGAAGAGATAGTCATTACTGACCTAGAGCCCGATGTATTCAAGGTGAACGCTTATGTTATGCTGTTATCATGTTTTTGCGAAAAAGCTGAATGCATGTGCTCTGTTGTATAACCTTTTTTCTTTGTCTGGATACAGGCCATCTTGCACTTCATTTACCGCGACACGCTTACTGAAGATGTGGGTAATACTGCATCAAGCTCGTCTAGTCTATGTTCTATATCAGAATCTTTGACAGCAAAGTTATTAGCAGCAGCAGATAGGTATGGGCTGGATCGGCTCAGATTGATGTGTGAGTCTCATCTATGCAAGGATATATCAGTCGCCTCAGTTGCTAGGATTTTAGCCTTGGCGGACAGCTACCACGCTACAGAGTTAAAGGCTGTTTGCTTAAAATTTGCTGCTGAAAACCTTGCAGGTAGGTGTCTTCTTCTCAGTGAAAGTTCATTATTGTTAGTTGGTTGGAGTTCTTAGCATTTGAGTTTCTCTTTTACCTTTTGCAAGGGCCTCCTTTCAAAAGAAACCATGCTTATTGGTGTGTAGAATGTAAGGAGAGAAATAGTCTCATCTGTGGCTTCAGTTTGAAATCATGGGGTGGACGCTCAGAAGCGTTGTGATATTAACCTCTGAAATATGCTCAATTGAGCTAGAAGTAACACTGCTAGCTATTTACACTGAACTATTAAGAGATGTATGCACATTGAAATTTCTAATACTATTTACATGATGCATAACTGAAGGCATTTTTGTTATGTCATGTTGGCTGAAGTTATAGTCTTATAGAGATAGGGCTTGAGAGCTCATCACTTTATCTCATTGACTTGGCGATTTCTGTTATTCCATCTCATTCTCTTTTTTGTGTTTTCCCTTCTGCAGCCGTGATGCGTTCTGATGGGTTCGAATACCTCAAAGAGAACTGCCCGACGCTGCAGTCAGAGCTGCTGAAGACGGTGGCGGGATGCGAGGATGATTGCAGCAGCGGAGGTGGGAAGTCACGTAGCGTCTGGGGCCAACTTTCAGACGGTGGCGAGACCACCACCAACGAAAGGAGGGTTAGACAAAGAACCTAGCGAATTCCGCTGCTAATTTGGTGCCTTTTTCTTTCTTTTTTCATTTCTTTTCTTCTTCTGTGCTGTAAATGAGCATTGTTATACAAATGGCGGACCGCACCCAAGGTAGAAGAGAGTGATTGTAATGTGGAAAAGGATAGCGGTGGTGAGATCGATATCATCACGGTTTGCTTCCCTGTTGAAAGGACAAAGCCTACATATACTTCTGAGAGCTCAATTGTGGACAAACGCTGGAATCTTGAATAGCCTATATAGCTTTTGTTGTATAAGCAGGTGTTGGTACCACTAATTGTTCCTTAAGTAGATCAGTGACACATAACTCGGGTTTCTGCCCGCAATTCTTATGTCTGCCTTCCTGGAGTAGCATTGCTAAGTTCAATTTGTGTTTGCAGTGGAGGAAGGCAAAGAAGTGCCACTTCTCCTTTTTCTTCTTCGTTGCCTGATGTATTGTGTTCTATATCGCATTTAGGTATTAGGCTGACGACATACGAACCTTACTGGTACATGTCTCTTTATCGAGAAATGGCGAAGCTGTACATACAAAGGTTTTTCGGTGAAGATTCTCTTGATTTTCGATGCGAATTATTGTCCACGCTACTATATGGTATCGATCGAAGTCGAGTCGAACAGTGAACTCTAGCCAGCGAGCTAGTAAGTAGTAACCTTTCTTTCAAATCAAATCTAGATTTGCGAATTCTCCTCCCTTGAAAATGGAACGTTCAACACCTAAAACCCAAACCCCTCCCCTTTTTTTGCGCCCTTTCTTCTCTCTTTGTTTTATAGTTCTTCCCTTTTCAGAAATCTACAAAAGAGATAGCTTTGCTGTCGCTGGTCAGCAAAAGTGCAAAACCCAAGACCTGCAAGAAAAACCCTACAGGCCGACACTGTTCCCTCACCGATCCGCCGCCAAAGCCGCACCCATCAATCAATCGATCAATCTCCCGACGGAATATGCTCTGGTGCAGCTATTGTCTCAGACTCTGCTCAACAATGCGCCAAGGCGATTTCATGTAAGCAACTGGAACAACCTCCCTCTGCACTTCCTTTTTCTTACCCAATTGCCCACCGGTGACGATTCGTAACGCCACAAACGAAATTTACAGATCTTGCTCCGCCTGCGGGAAGGTTCTGGCCGATCGGACCACCTCCGCCGGCGCCAATCAGAAAATGGCGGTCGTCAAGTCTGGATTTGTGGGATCGAAGAGGGTCTGCAATGACGCCGCCGCCGTCGGTGACACTGACACCGACGGCTCCGAATCCGATGGCGACAGCGGGCAATCGTCATCCTGATGACGATTGGGGATCAGTTTCCCGATCGTCCCAATTTTGAGAGTGAGAGCTAATAAGGAGCAGAGAGAGGCGAATCAATGGTTGCGGCAATTTTTGATGAATTGAGGACGAAGAATTTCGATTTTGTTTTGGTTTTCTTCCTCGTTGAATTTTCCCTTTGGTAATTAAATCTTCTCGTCGTGGGTGTTTTAAGTTTTAACGTCGGGGTGACAACAATTTACCAGGAAATGTGATCGCCATTTATATGACAGAGTAAGTAGTAATTAAGGGTTTCAGCTCGTAATTAAGAGATGAGGAAGATGGGTTTGAACAGCTAAAACACTTACTCGTATGATCGAAATGACCGCGCAACAAAATTGTGCGAGGTTTTGACGCCAAATTTTGGTGGGCCGGGTTTCTATCACAAAAAAGCCCAATCTATGGGCCATGCAATATGGACTATGGAGTGAGTAGAGTAAGGGGCCAGAACTTGCAAGGCTATGGGCCCATACCAGTCTCCATCTCGTTTGAGATCGGTTGAATGGCAAAAAAAAAAAAAAAAAAAACACCCACGGGTGATTTACTATGACGGGTCTTTCTTATGCAATGCGACTCCTATTTGGTGGTCTAGGATGTTGCGGTCGTTAACCATCATTTATATGTGTGTCATAAGTGAGCTTACACAATACTTTGTTTTATTCCGATTGAAACTGAAATGAAGGCTTTTCTAGAAAGTTTTAAATCAGTGCAAGAATATAGTTCTTAATGCATGATATCCAATATAATTGTCATGTATTGGGTTCAAATTCTTTTATATTCCCATTATTGTTAACTAGTTGGGTGCAATGTCATTTCCCCCGCTTACTATATGTTCCACGACAACGAAAGTATTCAGCAGTAGTATATGACAGAACATGTCTTGCTTCCATAGCATAGTGGTAGTGCGTTCGCTTCGTAAGCGAAAGGTCGCGAGTTCGATCCTCGCTGGGAGCTTTTATTTTTGACTTGAACGAATACAATCACGTTTCTATAATTTCAGTCTAATTTTTTTCATTCTACATTTTAGATGATTTATCGCTCGCTCTTCAGAGAGTTTAACGTACGTAACCCCCCACATGTCTTCATTACAATGTCCTTTGTTACATTTTGTGCCCAGCAAGTACAAGACGGTTGCCTATGCCGTGGCAAAAAAACAAGTTCTCTTATCGTTAGATCGGCCACTAGTCGACCAACCTGCACTAATTTCTCCTTTCAATTTTGAGATTTGACTTTTAAAAGTTTTGTATACACTTATACCTATCACACACACACACAAAAAAAAACCCATATATTCACCCAACTTATGCTAGGAAAAACAATGCATCGAAAATTATTGCGTGATGAAAGTCCAAATCTAGAAATTAAAAGCTTAACTTATTAATTAATAAAAAGTAGTTATCACGTCGTCGATTTCCTCCTCATTAGTTCTTATTTAAAGTGTATATATGCCACCAAATCATCAACCAATTAAGGTATATACATTAATCATTAATTAGTGAAGTAACTTCCCTATAAGCTTTGTCTCCAACTTCAACGACAATGAATGAATCGCCTCCTTCCTTTTATGCTTCACAGTTCCATCACTATATATATACACATTGTCAACCAGTAGCAGCCAGGAAAATCGAGCAACCGTCGAATATCAACTCGCGACGAGCTAGATTTTTTTCCTGTCATTCCGTCGCTAAAGATGACGCAGTACTGCAACCATTGCTGCAAATACCAGTCCGTCGTCAAGAAGAACAACAAGGCGTGAGTATACACATATAGTGACGACATGTGTTTTTTTAGTGACGAGTTTTGGAGTATTATTTAACCAATATTTTTGCCTTTTGATTTTTTTTGCATGCATGCATGCAGGCACTGCGCGGTGTGCGACAAGGTGCTGGGTACGTTTGGCAACGTCGAGATGGACGACGGCGAGCATCGGTCTTCTTCTTCATCGTCGCCGTCGGTGTCCTTGGCGGCGGACAAGAGTTATCATAATGGTCGTGCTTGTTTCGGCGACGACGAGACTGCCTGAACGTCGTCGGTTTGATTGATCGAGAGGAGGGTGGAGTTTCGTGTAGCGAGAAATTTTGAGTTTTGGTTTTTCAGTTTCATAAGTAGTGCTAGCTTGCTAGTATAAGTAGGTTAAGTAGTGTGATGAAAAGATAAGTTGCGGGTTTTCTTTGTTTTTTTTTTTCGGCAGAGATTTTATTCAAATTATGAGTTGATTATTGGGTTTCTAAGTTGTTATCGTTGATTTTAATTGTTAAAAGATATATCACGATATTGAATTCGAATATGTTAATTATAAATATCGTAATGTCTAGTTCCTGTTAAGAGACTCATAAAAATATCAACAAACTTGTAACCTAAATAATCAAAAATCGTTGTATTAGAGCTAACCAATGTAATATTTTATCATTATGTAACCATTAAGTCACAATTAAACCATAATTTAAGCATAAAATATTTTACCACATGTATAATTATACAAAGTACAACCCCTTCGATATGATTTTACGATTCCTCATCGAATTCACCTTAAAAACACGTCAAAGTTCAAATCAGCCCGTCACATGGGCTTATGGTCCTTCTCCAATATGCAAAGTGTGTCCATTTGATTGGCCCGTATACAGGTCAGTACACAGGACGATCGCTCACTGAACACTACTACTTCTTTCGTTTCGAATTAGTCATACTTGTCACAAGCATAGTGGGACATTAGAAAGGGGAAAAAACGCCCACAGAACGAGTCCGGATCTAGTGACTAGGGGGGGGGGGGTGCTTAGTCACATGGCTAAGCTCCCCTCAGCCCTTAGATTAGAATGGGTAGATCTAATGGTCCAGATGAAGGAAGGGTTAATAATTAATCAGAGGGGTAGTTTTGGCATTTAAAAAAAATAATTAAATCCTGTTTTCCATTTTATTTATTTTTTCCTTTTTCCCCTCTCCAATTCTCTCTTCCTTTCCCGACGATTTCTTCCCGATGAAGCCCGGACCTCAACAACCGCCGGAGGCAGCTCCCCCCATCCTCCTCCGCCTCGCCGAAATGGTGGTCCCCGCTCTTCGGCTGGTCCTCCGAGCCGGACTACGTCGGGACGACGCCAGCGAGCCAGCCGGCGGCGGATCAGGACGAGAATCGCCCGGATCTGGATGCGAAGCAGGCCAGATCTCGATTCTCCCCGGGCTGCTTCACCGCCGAGAAGGCCAAGCAGCTCCGTAATGTAATCTCGATCGTGTTTTTTTCGAGTTTGCGCTGTGTCATTGGCCGTCTCCGTCGGCGGCAAAGTCAGTCCGTCTCCGTCGGCGGCAGCGGTGGAGAGAGAGTCGTCTGAAGGAAGAACAATGATTTGTATAGTTTGTATGTTTTGTAACATTAGTTTGTATTGTTAGTATTTTTGTACAAAATAACAGTATGGTTTGTATGTTTTTCTTTGACAGTTTGTACTCTTAGTATGTTTTTCTTTGACAGTTTGTACTCTTAGTATGTTTTTCTTTGACAGTATGGTTTGTATGTTTTTCTTTGACAGTTTGTACTCTTAGTATGTTTTTCTTTGACAGTTTGTATTCTTAGTATGTTTTTCTTTGACAGTTTGTATTCTTAGTATGTTTTGCTTGTATTCTTAGTATGTTTCGCTTTGTATTGTAAGTACTAATAATTTGTATACTTTATATGTATTGATTTGTGATGCAAAAAACATTACAAACATGGTTGACAAAAATGACAAACATGTGGACAAAAATAACAAACATTACAAACAATACAAAAGAAACCAACAAACATTACAAACATTACAAAAAAACAAACATTACAAACATTACAAACAGTACAAAGTATACAAACAAATGAATACAAAGTATACAAATCATAACATAAAAGTATACAAACTTGAATAACAAAAGTTACAAATACAAATCAATGAATAGATTGTGTATAAATCATAACATAAAGTATACAAACTAGACAAACAAACATTACTAACATTACAAACATTACAATGTATACAAAATAGTAATATAAACATTACAAACATCACGAACTCAAATATTGTTGCCGGAAAATCATCTCTCTCTCTCTCTCTCTCTCTCTCTCTCTCTCTCTCTCTCTCTCTCTCTGACACACCAAAAATGGCGGCGGCGGTGGCCATGGGCCAAAATTATAAAGCCCCAGGGGAGCTCAAAAAAGGAACGCCGGCGGGGAATAATAATGGCGCCTGATCCCTCTCTCTCTCCCTCTCTCTGGCCCAACAAATTGCTCTCTCTCTCTCTCTCTCTCTCTGACACACCAAAAATGGCGGCGGCGGTGGCCATGGGCCAAAATTATAAAGCCCCAGGGGAGCTCAAAAAAGGAACGCCGGCGGGGAATAATAATGGCGCCTGATCCCTCTCTCTCTCCCTCTCTCTGGCCCAACAAATTGCTCCCTCTCTCTCTGGGCCAACAAATTGGCACCACCGCCGGCGGAATTCCCAGAAACGGACTGGCCGCGGGGAGAGCCGAGGAACATGGTGTTCTTTTTTATTTTGTTTTAATTATAAATAAATAATGTAATTACCATCTTATCCTTCATTAAACTAGATAAATCTGAACCATTAGATTTTAATGAGGTTCAATGGTTGAGATTGGCTTAGTCATGTGACTAAGGGACTCCCCCTTAGTCACCTGATCTTGGCCCCCACAGAACACTACTTATTTTTTTCATTTCGAGTTAGTCACACTTGTCACAAGCCTAGTGGGACGTTAGCAAGAAAAAAAAAACATATATGGCTTCGCCCGGGTTCGAACCGGAGACCTTCAGTGTGTTAGACTGACGTGATAACCAACTACACCACGAAACCATCAATGTTTTTACCTTTGAAATAACATTTTTTTTTTTGATAAATTACCTTTGAAATAACATTAGGATAAATGCTTCAAGAGGCATGCAAGGTGACTGGTTCTTGGAACAAGAATTTAGTTAACACTTAACAAGCAATAAAAACTTAAAAATCTTTTAAAAATCGAGAGAATTAGTGTCTGCAAATTATTTAGAATCTAAAAATTTGGACTCAAATTTTCCAAACGACTGCAAGAAAAAGTAAGTACAATTTTATTTAGGCTAGGTACAAGTAGATAGAATACAAACCTTACTTATAAATATCAGGCCAACCAAAACGACCCAACAAAACACTTCCTTTAGCGTTGTACTCAATCCCAAAAGACTATATGTGTAATTTAATCATCTAGCAAACGAAAAAACAGAATTTCATCATAATGAATAACCTCGGAAAGAGCTTAATTAGCATCAAATTGAGATCATAATAATCCAAACAGAAGATGGCTAGTCGAGTTGTATCGAATTCTAGCTCCATTGAAAAACATCCAAAGAAGGCTATATATCCACTACACCACAAAACCATCCATACAACAAATTTGAACTTGACCGGTATAAAACGGAGAGCTAACAGGGAAGGCAACAAAAAAACAAGAGAAAAAGAAAATAATCAACCCAAAATAGGGCACTTTTCCAACATAATGGAGGAATTAGTTTCAGTTCAATCCCTTACCAACTTGTCAGAGAATTGACTACATGTTGAATTTGCTCCCTTATAGCTTCTCATATAAAAAATACATTGATTTGACCAACGATGAACTATATAATCCAAACATCAAATAATCACATCCAAAATCGTAAGATAAAAGAAAATAAAGTTCAATCGTGATGAGTGTATAGTAAACTCATCAAACGATAGCATCGATTTCGAAAGATTACTTTTGGATACAAAGTGCATGTCGAGTAGGAGGTCCAATTTATGTCATTGGAAAGGATCGAATTGAGATCATATAATTAAGTCGAATATTGAGTTATAAAATATAGCATCAAGGAAACACAAAGATGGGGATTTCAAACTCTCCCATGCCATCTCAAGCATAGTAAGCTCATCAAGAGAGTGCCAAAATCGATGGATTTGTATTTTGGATAGAGTATCTGGCCAATAGTACTGCGGGGTGCGATTTGTGCTATTGGATAGCATCATTGAGATCATATGAGATACAATATAATGATGTTGAAATTTCAACTGAATTTACTATTACATACTTTGGGGAAGTTAGTGCACGTTGCGTTCTATTTCGTGCCTTTCAGTTCCATAGCATAACATTGCTGCCCATATCATCACAAAAACAAGTTATTTTATCGTCAAATTGACTACCGATGAACCAACGTGCACTAATTTCTCCTTTCAATTTCGAGATTTGACCTGCAAGTTCTTGGTATACTTATTATCTATCACACAAAAACCCCAAATATCTTCACCCACCTTATGCTAGGAAAAAACTCTGCATCGAAAATTGCATGATGAAGGTCCAAATGTAGAAATTAGAAGCTTAACTTATTAATAACAAAAAATTTAATTATCTTGACGTCCCTTTCCTCCTTATTAGATAGTTCCTATTGAAGTGTGTTTATCACTATATGCCGCTAGCTCCAAATCATCAACCAATTAGGGCATATTTTACTCATTAACTATCGAAGTGCTTGCTTCCCCATCTGTGTACGGTCTGAATTAGGGGAACAAAATATTTCTCTATATAGATCTTGTAACCCTATGCCTTAATTGGTTACGAATAATCTCAACTTCCATAACTAAACAGTACTTAAAAACTTCCTTAATTGCACTAATTAAGCTTCTCTGCAACTTCAAAGACAATAATGGATGAATCGACCGCCTCCTTCCTTTTCTGCTCCTCAGTTCCATCACTATATAAATCTCGTCACCCAATAGCAGCAAGCAACCGTCAGAGAAACGAGCTAGATTTTTTTTCCTGTCATCCCGTCGCTAAAGATGACGCAGTACTGCAACCACTGCTGCAAATACCAGTCCGTCGTCAAGAAGAACAACAAGGCGTGAGTATACACATATAGTGACGGGTCATATGTTTTTTTAGTGACGAGTTTTGGAGTATTATTTAACCAATATTTTTGCTTTTTGATTTTTTTTGCATGCATGCATGCAGGCACTGCGCGGTGTGCGACAAGGTGCTGGGTACGTTTGGCAACGTCGAGATGGACGACGGCGAGCATCGGTTTTCTTCTTCTTCTTCGTCGCCGTCGGTGTCCGTGGCGGCGGACAAGAGTGATCATAGTGGCCGTGCTTGTTTCGGCGATGACGAGACTGCCGGAACGTCGTCGGTTTGAATGGTCGAGAGGAGGGTTGAGATTTTCGTGTAGCGAGAATTTTTTGTTTTTGTGTTTGTTTTTCAGTTTCATCCTAGTGCTAGCTTGGTAGTATGAGTAGGTTAGTAGTGTGATGAGGTTTTCTTTGTTTTTTCCGGCAGAGATTTTGTTCATTTTTTTATGAATTGGTGCTTAGTTTTATTCATCAAAAGGGAGTTTATCCATAATTTTGTTCAAATTATGAGGAGGTTTTTCGGCTTCTTAGATGTAATTGTTGATTTTAATTATGAAAAGATATATCACGATCTATAATACTTTGTCCAATCAGCCAATTTACCTAATCATCCAATTCAACATATGAACAAAACTGTAAGCCCAATAATCAAAGTATTGGAATTAAGTATTTGATAATAGTATCGAAAAATCACTTATCATAATTCAAGCCAATATAAAATTTAAATAATATAAAATAATTAAACCATGATTAAATCATAATCTAAATATCCAGCAGCACTCCACCAGCTTCTATACATGCATGATGATGCACAAGGCTAGTGTGAAGTTAGAAAGAAGAGAAAAAAAAACATATATGGCTTCGCCCGGGTTCGAACCAGAGACCTTCAGTGTGTTAGACTGACGTGATAACCAACTACACCACGAAACCGTTGATATTTTAGTTTTTGAAATAACATTAACATAAATGCATCAAGAGGCATGCAAGGTACGTAACAGGTTCTGGGAAACTGAATTTAGTTAACACTTAACCAGCAATGAAATTTTTAAAATCTTTTCAACAATCAGAAAAATTAGAATCTGCAGATTGTTTAGAATCTAAAGATTAGACTTCAATTCTCCAAACGAACGCAAGAGAAAGTTGTATAGATTGATTTAGGTTAGGTACAAATAGATACAACACAAACCGTAGTTATAAATATCAGGCCAACCAAAACGACCCAACAAAACAATTCCTTTTGCGTTGTACTCAATTCCGAAAGACTATATGTAATTTAATCATCTAGTAATTAACAAAAAAAAAAACAGAATTTCATCATGATGAATGTAGTAAGCTTTGGGAAGAGCTTAATTAGCATCAAATTGAGATCATAATAAGCCAAACAGAAGATGGCTAGTCGAGTTGTATCGAATTCTAGCTCCATTGAAAAGCATTCAAATTTCAAAGAACGCTATATATATTACCCAACAACGCTAAAAAAAAAGGGAGAGAAAGAAAAAACACAAATTAACGACGACCATGGCGGTATTAAGGATAGTCATCACGTTTCCCTCCACCTTTCTTCTCCTTGTTGTGAATTTGACTGATGCAAGAATTAGGGATTTCGAGCTTCTGTAGAGGGGAAAGAGAGAACGAAGAGATGAGGAAGACTAGAAAAAGGATAAACTCCTTTTCTTTTGTTCTCTGCGTTTTCCTTTAAGAAATGGGCTTTGGGATCAAACTAAGCCCACAAAAGTTAGAAACAAAACAAAAGAATTAATTAAAAGCCCACGGAGCAATTAAAACAAAGTATGCAGGAGAGGGAGGAGGAGGCTTATTGTTCCTAGCTCAAAAGAAGAATACAGAGTTCATCCTCTGTTCCTTTTCTAGAAACCCAGAAAGCAGAGCAAACATAAACACAAAGGGCAGCAAAGGTAACGATAATGACACAGAGATTTTTAACGAGGTTCCCAAACTACTGGTCAATCCTCGTCCTAGAATCAGTACCCACTGATTTCTAGGAGACTCTTTTTTTTATTAGATTTTTCCTATCAAGCACAAAACAAAGACTCGATGTAGCTAAAGCAACAGAAGATGAAAGAACCCGGATCACAAATCTCAGACCCGTTACACCGTTAATCAAATAGAACCTATTCCTCTAACTTGATTAACCCTCTTTGCTCTGAGCCCTCTACCGCTCCCACAAAGATGCGTAACCGAAGACATCAAGGAGCATATATATATTACACCTAGATGCAAGCCGTTGCTGCTGCTCTTCTTCATGAGGAAAGGCATTTTGAATAGCTGTCAAGCTTTCCATTTCTAGCTATTTAGAAATTGCCAGCTCCCATTCTTGTGCCAATAATTTTGCCCCACCGATTTCGTCCATATTTTTGAATTTGCGCTTGATTGATGAGGATATTCTTTGACCAATCAATTCTGAATTCTGATTTCTCTTTATACATCCAACAATCTCCCCCTAAATCAGAGATTGTGAATTGATAGCTGCCTGCACATAAGATCAAATACCATTTCCCAACAATGCATACCAAGTATGTAAACTTAAACCCATAATCAAATCTTAAGCACTAGCAATCTTACACCAAAGCTGCAGCCTACTACCAGGCCCAAACAGATAAAACAAACTAAGACATTTCAAAGATAGAAGGCAAAACAGAATACCACGTAAAACTAGGCAAACTCATCAGAGATTACCAACAGAACGAGTGCGGCAATGGTTGTGTTCCCTTTTGCTTGAGTTAATAAAACAAGAAACACACTATCAGCTTAAACCTTTTGCTTGTCCAACAATTAAGTCAAATATAGAAACAGCAAGAGTATATCTCCCCCTCAATTTGCAATCTCCTCATCAAGCAGACTTAATGAAATAGACCCATCCATAACCAAGATCAAAGAACACAAAACAGGGAACAATTACTAGCAAAGTTCACCTATAGTACACACATAAAAAAATCACAAAGACACTCTACTCGTATGTATGTGTGCAACCTGTAGTGCATCTGCAGAGTATGTGTGTGCATCCTGCGTATGTATACGCAACCTGTTAACCAATAAAATTATGCTGCCGTCCCCTTGATTTTCATCAAAAGGACATCTATGCAAATAAGATTGGCCATCTTCTTGACTCCCAACAGATTGTGCTATCTATCACATGATTAGTTCTTCTATTCAATCATCCTTATACTAGCAAATCAAGAATCAAGCCATAAGCATGGAAAAGAATACTAGAGTATAAAGCCTCGATCCTCTTTAAGAAAAAGTAACAGAACCACCCAAAGGAGAGTAAAACTCGCAGAAGTTATTTAGTAGAGCAAGTCAGACAAACCTAGTTTAGTCTCCCCCTAAGGACATGCAGCCACTAGTCAAACGTGGGAGCTTAAAATTAATCTCCCCCAAAAAAAATTGCAATCAACAAATGAAAACCAAGCAAGACATAAGTGAGAAAACAACCATTAAAGCAAGAGAAAGATCAATAGAACCATCCAGTGACTTCACACAGAAATGTCACAGTTACCTCAATGAGAAACGGGGGAAAGAACGCTACCCGTCAGGAGGAGGGAGCACCTGCTTACAAGAAATCAAGCGCTTACATCTCCTCCCATAAGTAGAGAGATCAAACGTTAGTTTTCTTTGGAACCCAAACCAGTCTAGGTATGGGTTTCCCATTCCAAAAATGCATAGGAAGAGAGTGGTGACAATTTTGACTTGTATGACCAGCTCTTATGCAAGTAAAACATCTCAACAAGTCAGCTTTGTCATAGCTAGCATGCTGAGAATTTTTACGCCAACGATTTGTCTTATTCTTATAATAAAACAGCCTATTATGCATATGCTTGTGGTTGACGTTCGACGTGGAATGATGTACTCTTCTACCAACAAACTTAGAAAAATGGCACTGAGATTGACTTGGTAGGTGCTTTCTAACTCTATTAGGGTCTTTAAATGTCAACATACTGGTTGTTTTACTATAAGATGATTTATGTTCTAACAGCTTATATAGATGATTCTTGTCCATTCTAAGGACCTCATTTTCACGCTGCAGCTCAACAATCTTAATGTTGTTTAACTCTGTGGTTCTAGTGAGGTTGACTACATCAGCATTCTTTTTACGAAGCTCTTCCTGAAGACAACAATACTTAATTTTTAAGCTACGACACTCATCTTCTAAGTTTTTCAGAGCAGATAGGAAATTGTCGGAATTTACCTTGGATGATGCGAATTCTGACTTTACCTTGATATCAGCTGATTTGAAGTAAATCTCCTCATCACCATCAGAAGTACTGGCTTCACTTTTAAGAGTGAAAGCCATATATGCTTTTTCTTTGATTATATCATCATCTAATTCAGATTCATACTCACTCCATGTAGCCTTAGTTTCGCGTTCTTTTGACTTCCCTCTCTGAGGACAGTTTGACCGTATGTGCCCAGATTTACCACATTTATAACACGCCTGTGATTCCCTTTCCGAAATACCTGCACTTAGATTTCTGGTCTGCTGTTGGGGCAGCCTATCTTTGGAAGCAAATTTGTTACAATCATAAGCACTAGACTTGATAAAATCACTCCCTCGTTTGTTCTGTTCATTTTTATACTTAAGCATTCTGTGAAATTTCTTATTAACAAGGGCAAATTCTCTATCAAATTCATTACTAAGATCATCATCAGACTCATATTCATGAACTTGGGATTTAAAAGCTAATTTGTCACGAGAATTTTTATCATCCCTCCCGACTTGTTCAAGAACATGCTCGTGACTAAGCAGAGATCCTATCAGTTCATCTACACAAAGAGTGCTCAAATCTTTTGCCTCTTCTATGGCTGTCCGTTTAGGCAACCATTCCTTAGGAAGAGATCTTAAGATTTTTCGAACTAACTCCTTTGATTGAAAAGTTTTTCCTAACCCTTTGAGCTGATTAATCAAGATTGTAAAACGAGAATACATTTCGTGGATACCCTCACCTGATTGCATGTCGAACGCCTCATAATCGTGCATGAGTAAATCGATTCTGGTCTCTCTGATGTTTGATGTCCCTTCATAGGTCTTTTCCAGACTCGCCCATATCTCCATGGCTGACTCACAGTGCTCAACTTTGTCAGCTTCATCCGGTGACATTGCCGATTGCAAAATGTGCATTGCCCGACAATTTAGCTGTGCGCTCTTCCTCTGGTCAGCCGTCCATGTATTGTGCTCCTCAGGATTCATTTCAAGTGGCCCATCACGGACAATGGACCACAGAATCTCATCGATCCCCCAGAGAAAGTTCCGCATCCGTCGTTTCCATGCCGTGTAGTTTGAACCTGTAAACCACGGAGCAGGACCAAACGAAAAGGAAGATGATGTAGCCATGGATCGATTCCCTTGGCAGTAGTGAGCTCTCTCAAGGTAAAGCTCTGATACCAATTGTGAATTTGACTGATGCAAGAATTAGGGATTTCGAGCTTCTGTAGAGGGGAAAGAGAGAACGAAGAGATGAGGAAGACTAGAAAAAGGATAAACTCCTTTTCTTTTGTTCTCTGCGTTTTCCTTTAAGAAATGGGCTTTGGGATCAAACTAAGCCCACAAAAGTTAGAAACAAAACAAAAGAATTAATTAAAAGCCCACGGAGCAATTAAAACAAAGTATGCAGGAGAGGGAGGAGGAGGCTTATTGTTCCTAGCTCAAAAGAAGAATACAGAGTTCATCCTCTGTTCCTTTTCTAGAAACCCAGAAAGCAGAGCAAACATAAACACAAAGGGCAGCAAAGGTAACGATAATGACACAGAGATTTTTAACGAGGTTCCCAAACTACTGGTCAATCCTCGTCCTAGAATCAGTACCCACTGATTTCTAGGAGACTCTTTTTTTTATTAGATTTTTCCTATCAAGCACAAAACAAAGACTCGATGTAGCTAAAGCAACAGAAGATGAAAGAACCCGGATCACAAATCTCAGACCCGTTACACCGTTAATCAAATAGAACCTATTCCTCTAACTTGATTAACCCTCTTTGCTCTGAGCCCTCTACCGCTCCCACAAAGATGCGTAACCGAAGACATCAAGGAGCATATATATATTACACCTAGATGCAAGCCGTTGCTGCTGCTCTTCTTCATGAGGAAAGGCATTTTGAATAGCTGTCAAGCTTTCCATTTCTAGCTATTTAGAAATTGCCAGCTCCCATTCTTGTGCCAATAATTTTGCCCCACCGATTTCGTCCATATTTTTGAATTTGCGCTTGATTGATGAGGATATTCTTTGACCAATCAATTCTGAATTCTGATTTCTCTTTATACATCCAACACTTGTGATCACCGCCGCCGACGCCGGCGCCTTGTACTGCCAGGACTGGAGCGTCGGGTGCGACGCGGCGACGGCGGCTGATCTCATCGAGGACCTGAAAGCGGTGGTGCCACGCAAGCCAGGGGAGCCGAAGCGCTACTGCAACGTGTTGACGGCCAGGTCCGGTAACGGACTGCAAATGTACGGCTTCGGCCTCTGCTCTACGGATGCGATCGCCGGTACGAACGCCACCGCCGGCGCCGAGTCGGCATGCCGCGACTGCTTGGCCGGCGCGAAGGATACACTAATTAGCCGTTGCAGAGACGTGGGAGCAGCTGGGCAGGTGTGGGGTAATCCACCGGGTTTGTGTTACATCAAGGTTGGACCCTCCAACTGTTACTCCATGGCGAATTAATTATGTGTTTGTGATATCGTATCGTAATGTTGTTGCGCGTATTAATTATGTGTTTGTGATATCGTATCGTATCGTAATGTTGTTGCGCGTGTTATATGAATATGATTTGCGATGAAATTTTTTACATATTGTGGGTATCGGCTGATTGGGGTCTATTGATATATTAATATTAGCACTACGACTCACTTGACCAATGTGAAAACCAAACTAATCGTAAAATTCGGTTCGTTATACGTTGTGGTTCTGTCCTTTTGGGAATGTGCGACAAGAGGTTACATTGTAATTATCAGCTAATTGAGATCTATTAATATTATCACTAAAACTCAATCGAGCAATGTGGAAAATGAAATTAATCATACAAGTTCAGTTGACTTGGAAAAGGTAAAAGTTACATTGTAACTATCAGCTAATTGAGATCTATTAATATTATCACTAAAACTCAATCGAGCAAATGTGAAAAATGAAATCGATCATACAAGTTTAGTTGACTTAGAAAAAAAATTAGAACTATGGCTTCGTCGGGGTTTGAACCGGAGACCTTCACTGTATTAGACTTATCACTAAAACTCAATCAAACAATGCGAAAACGAAAAACGATCATGCAAGTTTAGTTGACTTTAAAATTAGTTTGAAGTATGGCTTCGTCCAGGTTTGAACTGGAGGCCTTCAGTGTGTTAGACTGACGTGATAACCAACTACACCACGAAACCATTCATGCATGTTCCAGATTTGAAATTAATCAGTATAAAACGGAGAGAAAACAGGACGGCAACAAAAAAAAAAAAACAAGATAATTGAGGAAACAAAGAAAATAATCAACCCAAAATAGGGCACTTTTCCAACATAATGGAGGAATTGGTCAGTTCAATTCCTTACTAACTTGTCAGATCATTTACCACAACGTTGAATTTGCTCCCTTCTCATATCCAAAATACATTGATTTGACCAACGATGAATTATATAATCGAAACATCAAATAATCATATCCAAAATCGTAAGATAAAGAAAAAAAGTTTAGTCGAGATGAATGTATAGTAAATCAATCGAGCACCAATGTCGATGAATTTTTTATAGATGCAAATTAAAGTACATATCGATTAGTAGGTCCAATTTGTGCCATTGGGAAGGATCGAATTGAGATCATATAAGTCAAATATTGAGTTATAAATTATAGCATCAAGGATAGCTCAAAGATAGAGATTTCAAACTCCCATACCATCTCAAGCTTGAAATCTCTTTGTTTTTTTTTGGATAGAGAGTATTTGGCCACTAGTGGGTTGCGATTTGTGCTATATTTTGGATGGCATCATTGAGATCATATAAGATACAACAATAATAACGTTGAAATTGCAACTGAGTTTACTATTACATACTTTGGGGAAGTTTTCACTACCCAACTACTAAGAACAAGGGTGAAATATCACCCTTTTATGACGGGCGATTAGCCACATATGATTTATTACTTTTCGCGTATGAACAATTCGCCAAAGTCGTAATAAGCCTACGATTTGAATCTCCAATTTCATCAGCGTATGTCGCATGGCTTAATTTTTCTTCTTCATACGATGGAATGTGTCGAGAATTAAAATTTACTAGCACGCTTGCATGTCAATCCATTGATCGAACGGTGATTACCAATCCATATTGCGTCGATCGACAAATGACAACCACACAATCTAAACATTTTTTTTAATACCAATTTTTAAATGTTTGCATCGTATAAATAGGGACCAACTGAGCCTTTAGTTAAAGCACCAAAGCAAAGTGGGGAAAAGAAGAAAGAAAAGAAACAGAGAAAAGAAACGAAAGAAAGAAAGGATATGAGGTCATCCCTAGCAATGGCGGTCCTTGTCTTTTTAGCGACCACCACCACCGTCGTCGTCGGCGACGTCGCCATGAACTGCACGCGGTCCGGTGAATGGAGCGGCGTCGATCCGGCGACGGCGACGGGGCTGAAAGAGGCACTCGTCGATGATTTGATCGCACGAACGCCCAAGGACACGAACAACGTGTACTACTGCAACTTCGACACGTGGCGCGGATTGACGATGTGGGGATACGCCGAGTGTGCTGACGCGTCCAGATGTCCGACGTGTCTGTCCAACGTGGGCTCCGGCCTGAAGGAACTTCCGTGCGCCAACGGCGAAGGTACTGCTAGGGATTCCGACGACGTTTGTTACGCCAAGGTTGGATTCTCCCAGTCTAGCGTCTGTCCTAGAGTCCGAAGCTGATTAATTTGCGTCACCGCCGGCCATGACCTAGAACACGTACGGTCGTTGGACACGTGTACGCCGATGCACACGTGGTGCTGTTTTGAAGGAAAAGTTTTGATTGTTGTGGTTGTTGATGTCGGGGTGTTCGATTCGCGTTACAACGATATCATCATATGATCAGGAGAAATCGCTTTTTCGATCGTACTATTTCGTTCTTGCGGACTTTGATTTTCATTCATGGTTATATTCGTGTGAGACAAGAGCACATTTCTCTAGGGGTGGCTATACGGTCCGGTCCGGTTAAATTGGCCTAAATTGATCCGGTCCCAGTCCGGTCTTTTTGAAAATATAAGGATCAAAGATTGGATTGGATACAGTCCGGTCATGATCTGGTCCGGTCCCAATTCAGTCTTGATTTTATATTGAGCTTGTGGAAATTTGAGTGGCCTAAGGCCTGATAGTGTGAGGAGTTGGTTAAGTTTTGTACTAAGTGCGAAGATTTGTGATCGTTTATGCAAATTACGCTTAAGCTTTGGGTGATGAGCTCTCTTATCCGGTCTTTATCCAGTTTTCGATCCGGTCCCAAACGGTTTTTTACCTCAAATCTAAGCCCTAAAATTGAATTGGATTGTTTACTATCCCATCCCGATCCGGGTTATACGGTCCGGTTTCGGGTAAAACCAAAAACCCCGGAATAAATAGCCAACCCTACATTTCTCTGTACTATACATAAAAATAACAAAACACTACTACAATTGGATTGGAGTTCGTCTTACCTCGACTCAAATTGTTTTCAACATATAACATGTATTATTCGTTTTCCATTGTGAATCTAAGAACACAATCATAATAACTCGATAGAATCGTCGGACCACGCGATTCCATCTTAAATGAAATTCTGCCAACTCGCAACTTCTTAGCGTTACACGAAAATTTTACATTTGGCGACCACAAAAAAGTGGTCGCAATATCCAGGAAAATGGTCGTCATCACAAGTTACAGAACCAAGAGAGGAATATAAACCACCGGAATATGGCGTTGTATTTAGTTCCAAAACAGAGAGATATAACCAAAGACTAATTATGCATCTAATTATCATCGACTAATCACATACAAGAAAATTGATCATGATGAATCGCCAACTAGCACATAGTAAGCTCCAATTTGTCCCCACTTGATAGCATCAAACTGACATCACGTACGTCAAATGGAATGGCGTTAGGGTTTTATATTGAAATCATCTAAGCTCAAGAACAAGAAATTCAAGAGAGAAATTCAAGGTACGACCCACTTTATATATTGCGTAACCCTTCGTATTACCCTCCTAATCATTAAGCAAAGAAATTCCAAGGGGAAAGGCTAAAAGATACCCATAAAAACAGAAAACTCGTCACTAAATCATCAGCCATGGCGCCGGCGGCAATAGTGTCCATCTTTCTTCTGATGACGATCGCCTCCGCCGACATCGTCGTAGCCGCCGAAGTTGTTGGTTACACCTGGAACTGCTACAGCGGAGTCGACGGACGGGGGGCGATGCAGGGAATTATCGATGATTTGGTTGCTACAGTGCCGGATAGACAAGGCCAGACCTATTGCGACGAGGTGGGGCCGTCGCAAATGTTCGGGTTTGCGTACTGCTTGGTTCCAGATGATAGCGTGTCAGCGTGTCGCGATTGCTTGAATGGCGCCGGCCCGTTTCTGTCGCAGGAGTGCAGCACGGCGGGAGCTGGTTATGTGATAGCTAAGACTTGCTTCATCAAAGTTAGTACCGACCGTTGTCGCAACTAATATATATAGCCCGGTTAATACGATGTAATAGGCAAACCTTTTGATGCTGACCGGGTAATCATATCTTTTAATCATAGTGTCTTCCTTTTGCGTGACTTGTTTTTACGTGACAACTCAATTCGTCGCAAAATCGGTACCAGATGATTTTTATCCTCCAACCCTCCGTCGTCGGCCTGACCAACTGTGTCAAAGCGAATTTGTTCGTACGGATCTATGTAGCAATGTTCTTTGATCACCTTCATCTTTTCAATCTGGTGCAAGTGCAAAACACAACAAAAATAATTCGCAAGTTGGGTACACTATTCAGGCGACTTACAACAAAGTTAAAAAATTATGGCTTCGTCCGGGTTCGAACCGGAGACCTTCAGTGTGTTAGACTGACGTGATAACCAACTACACCACGAAACCTGCATATATGACCTTAAACGCTAAAGTAGTACTGAAGGCAAATTGGACGGAAACAGATCGATTATGGTTTCCTACTCCATCACACCAACAAGACTGAGAGGAAGCGTAACAAAGAAAATAGTCAACCTAAACATGAAACTTTGCCAGTGTAATGGTTTCAGTTCAATCCTTTACCAACTTGTCGACGAAATCTTTTATATAAGATTCAAGTGCTCATCATTTCTACAAATACATAATCATGATGAACCAATAAAAAAAAGGAATATATATGTGAATCCCAATAATACATATGTTTGCATTTAATTACAAAATACAGAGATATAACCAAAGGTCGTATGCTGTAATCATCGAGAGATTAATCCGAACGAAAAAAAAAACAAATAAAGAGAATTTGATCATCCACCTCCAGCAGCAAATTCAATGGATTTTGTTGTATTTTTTCTTTTGGGTACAAAGTAAATGTCGATTCCAGCATCAAAGTCAAACAGAATGGGCGTCGATCAAGTTGTATCGAAATCATCTCTATAAGCTCAAGGAACAAGAAGGGGCTGTCAATTATATTGTCGTTCCAAAATAAACTCCCTTCCAATGTAGTCAAAAGCGCGTTTCTACGTACGTAAAAGGGTTTTGGTGATCTAGAAGATAAAAAATCGTAAGTTTTTTTAAGCTTCAAAGCGTAGTTTTTAACTACAATAGTTATAAGAAATGGTGATTGTTCGTAGAAACATATTGGTGACCTAGAAGCGTAAAACCGTAAGTTTTAAAGCGCGATTTTGACTACATTAGCTCCTTTCCACCAACTGCATTTAAATAGAGACCTACACGAAAAAGCAAATAACCAATTCATTATACAACATTAGCCATGGCAGCGCTAGTACTACAACTGTCCATCTTTCTTCTCCTCCTGATGATTGATTATTATTATTATTATTTATTGGAAGAGGCTTTTACTAGGATCCATGGTCCTTTATACGGACCGTTCTAAGTGTTTCATTCTTTCTTTGTCCCTCTATTATGACGTTTTATCAAACATGCCCGTCTACTATTTTTTACATCAAACATGCCCCTGTACTTTGGAAAACTTATCAAACATGCCATTTTGTTAAAATTTCCATAAAAAAACCGTTAACCAAGACCGAACTTTGGTTTGGGCGACCCAGATATCTAAAATATCCATAATAATTTCACTTTAGAGTTTTTTTTGTTCTTTTGTATAGCCAAATAATTCTAATAATTTCACTTTGACGAGACCTAGAAAAATAAAACAAGGGTCAAAACTGACATTTCCCCTCCCATTTATCGATGACAGGTCGTCTAAATCTCGGTTCAACCATGATTGATGATTTTTTCAATGAAAATTTCAACTGAAGGGCATGTTTGATAGTTTTTCCAAATTACAGGGGCATGTTTGATGTAAAAAATAATAGAGGGGCATGTTTGATAAAACGTCATAGTAGAGGGACATATTATACCTATAACCCTTGCGGAAACAACGATCTTATTGAATGAAATCCTGACTACCCCACTTCTTATTTAGTTCTTAATTACTATAATAATAATTTAATCATCGGTTCTTATTTAGTTCTTAACCACCCCACTTCTTATTTAGTTCTTAATTCCTATAATAACAATTTAATCATCGGTTATATATTGACATCTAAACTCCTAACCAAAAAAAGAAAATAGAATTTAATCTTGGTAATCAATGTAGTTGATTTGTCTAGTTGTCGATTAGGAGGTGTCCAGTTGATGCTTCTTCTAATCCTAGCTAGCATCAAACTGATGATATCATCGAAAGCCAAGCTGCCATTCCAAACTCTCACCTCCATATATATATATATATAAACAGAAGACCCTAGCTAGTTCATACATATTATATATATCAGCCATGGCGGCAATACTACTAGTAGTAGTGTCCATCTTTCTTCTGATGACCACCGTCGTCGACGCCATCGACGACAATCCGTATCGGTACAGCTGGGACTGCGAGGGCGGGAACGGCGGAGTCGACGAGGCGACGGCGGCCGCAACGATGCGGGCCATCCTCGTCGACATGGTCGCCACGGTGCCATATAGAAACGGCCAGAGCTACTGCAACGTGGTGGAGTCGCGAGTGTTTGGGTTCGGGCACTGCCTCTTTACTGGTATTGGTCACGGCGGCGCCGGCGATGACGTGGCGGCAGCATGTCGCGGTTGCATGAATGATGCTGCTGCGGTTCTGTACGGGAGATGCAGCGCGTCGGGAGCTGGGCGCGTGGGAAGTCCCCTGCATACCAATGAATATTGCTACATTGAGATAAGTACCCGAGAATGTCACAACTAAATAAATAAATAAATACTTCATTTTGGTTTTGTTTCCTTCTTCAAGACAGAGAGGCTCTTCTTGCATGTCAATGAGAGGTCTCTTGTACCTTAATTACCCAGATCAATAAAAAAAAATTCCCAAGTTTTCCCATTCAGTAGCATTGTGGAACTAATTAACAACCTCATAATCATTAAGCAAAGAAATTCCAAGGGGGAAAGCCAAAAAAAATACCTATAAAACAGAAAACTCGTCACTATATCATCAGCCATGATTTGGTCGCTACAGTGCCAAGTATTGCAACGAGGTGCCGCAAATGTTCGGGTTTGCGTACTGCTTGGTTCCAGATGATAGCGTTAAGTTTCTGTCGCAGGAGTGCAGCACGGCGGGAGCTGGTTATGTGATAGCTAAGACTTGCTTCATCAAAGTTAGTACCGACCGTTGTCGCAACTAATATATATAGCCCGGTTAATTAATACGATGTAATAATAGGCAAACCTTTTGATTTTTTTTTTGACGA